GCCTCCTTCATACCAGCCAGAAACGAAGCTCAGATTTGTTTCTTATTCAATTTCTGTATTCAGACAACCAAACTATTTCTTTCTTGCCATAGCATGTGCACACACACATACAGGCAGGGTGCTGCTTCCAGTCTCCACTCATGTGGAAGAATTAGTGGCCATGAAAGTCCATGAACCCCTTCAGCTAGCAAAGTGTAGTACAAAAGCCTTGAGAGAAGGCTTTTGCATATCCAGAGAAGTATTTGGTGTGAGGCTTCCCTGGCTGGAGATTTTGCATTTTGTTCAGCTAGGGTACTTCGCACATCTGAACAACAACCAAAAGCCACCATGGTAATACTATGAAAAAGTACTTGTTATGCACCAGTGAAAGTAAGATGTAAGACTTTATACTGGGCCCCTTATAAATGCCCCGTGCTCCTGGTTTTGAGGGCCCTTGAGCAAGACACCCAATGGGTTTCCTCTCTCCATTAGTCTAGATGTCCTTGCTGCCATTGTCACCACCAACCACATGCAGAGAGCTGGGAGTGAGTTCTGGCAGCAGCATTTCCTGCTTCCTGCCCTCCCCACCATGGTCTGAGCCAGAGTGAGAAGCAGATGAGCAGCCAGATTGCCTTGGCAGAGAAGAGAAGCATCTTCAGAGAGTTTTTGTGGGCCTTCTGAGACATGCCTGCCTTTGATGCTGGCACAACTTTCAGTAGAACTAGGTTGGAAAACAAGGCTGATGAAAGGCTTATTCAGTTATATAAGGTTATCTACATGGTCATATTTACTTATTTAAAGCATCTGTATCCTGTCCTCTATCTGAACAGGATCTCAGGACAATTTACACTTTAAAAAATATAAAACAACAGTAAGAGGATGACAAAATTCACAACGGCACTTGAATGAAATCACAATAATAAAATTATTCTAACCATTAAAATACTGGGCAAATAAAAAGTTTTGTGCCTAGCACCAAAATGAATAAAGAGTTGGCACCAGATGCACCTCCCTGAGGATCAGGTTCCAGAGTCAGGTCACTACCACTGAGAAGGCCCTTCCCCTATATAGTTATTTATATCCCCCTTTCTACAGCTTGAACATTATCGGGATGGGTTGTAACATTTAAAGGTAGCTCACAGCATTATAACATTAAATATTGTGAAATACAGTAATATTCCATAAAATGACAGTATGCTAAGGGAAACATATCCAGCAGATAAAACAAACCATGGATAGAGACTTATCTACCAGGTAGGACAAACGCCTACTGAAATAGTTAAAGCTTAATCATTTAGTCAAACACAACAAGTAAATGAACCACTAAACCTCTAAAAACAAGGTCCATTCTTTGGGTGCAACCACAAAAAAGAGTCCAGACATCTTATGGTGAAAGGAAAGCACACCATTTTCTGGTTGTGAGGGACAACAGAACTGGAAGGTTAGTGACCTCATTTCCACTTTTAGGCTTCACAGAGGCACTCAGTTGGTACAGCAGAAATGGATGAAATGGATCCAGCAGAGCTTCTGTTTTATCATCAGGTGGCATTACTTTCGTAGGGAAGCAATGATAGTTTGGTAAGATGACTTGTTTATAGTCATGTGAGCTGGACACCTAAATACTTCATAGAATCATAGGATAGTAGAGTTGGAAGGGGCCATAAAGGCCATTGGGTCCAACCCCCTGCTGTTGCAGGACACCAATTTACACCATCCCACTCAGGTGGCTCTCCAGTTTCTTTTTGCATGTCTGTAGTGTGGGAGAGCCCATGACCTCTCTAGGCAACTGGTTCCACTGTCGTGTGTAGCAACAAAAAGGAACCTCTATGTTCGGGGCAATATACCTTTGAATATTCAATGGTACGGTATTCAAAGGTATACTGAGGACATTGGGCTGTTGCATTGCCTTCAACCCATGCTTGTAAACTCTCAGAAGCATCTGGCCACAGATGGATACAGAATACTAGCCTAGAGAGACATCCAGCAGGACTGTGCTTATATTATCCTTGGCACATTAGGACCCTGCACTATTCTTCCATCCATCCTAACCAAAAAGCTGGAAAAAGCTGGACTCTCTGCAGTAAGAAGAAAGACATGTTGGGGAAATGCAAGAGGATTACAAATGCATGACAATGTCTGTGTAAGATGTAAGTGATTGCAGCATGATGATTTCACGCTAGCTGCTTAGTGTCGAAGTAGTCCAGGAGAGAATACCATAATAGGGACTCACCTCCAAGGGAAGACTCTGCATGACTGACTAATCCTAGTTTAGTGACTCTAAACATGGAGGCCCCATATCGATATCATGCCAATGGCCACCAATACAGATTTTCATGGAATAGAATTCTAATCCCTCTGTAAATATATCCAATGTAGTAGTTATTCCCACATTTTGTCACAGTGAATTGCACAAATGACATATAGGTTATGCAAGAAATCCCTTCCTCTGCCTGTCCTGAATCTGTTTACCTGTTAGGAGGCCTCATATAAATTAAAGACAATTTTAGCTCACAGCAAATTATCCCTTGAACCTGCCCCTTTCCTAGAATTTATTGTTTCCCTTAGCAAGAATCATGCAGATTGAGTATCCTGGTATGTAACACATGTAGACTTCCTGCCTGCAGAAAACTGTTATGAGCTGAGGTTCCCCCTTCAGACGGTTTACCTTGCAGAAATGTTATTTATTGCTTTCAATCACAAATAACCCAGAAGAGTTCTGAGCATGCACAGAGTGGCTTGTTGAATCCAATCTAGGGTTTACCTTCAAGAACATTCCTTATGAACATTCCTGGGTCCCATCCCCTCGGGAGGGGCTTTCTGAGGGGGACATGATATCTCTCAATATCTGTTACAAACAGGAAGGCCAAGATCTCTTCTCGCTGAGACTAGAATGTGGGACATGGAATAATCAACTCAAATTGCAACAACCCACGTTCAGGCTAGATATCAGGAAAAGTTTCCTCACTGTCAGAGCAATACGACAACCAGTTGCCTAGAGAGGTCATGGGCCTCTCTGTGAATATGGACCCATACACAAGTGCAGCAAAACAGAGGAAAGTGTCACATTTGGGCTTATATAGAATTGTGTAAAGACTCTGGAGTGAGTTGTGGTACAGCAACCATGACTGACAATGTAAGGATTCATTTTTTAATGGATTTAACAGGATGTGACAGGCAGAAATTCAGTAAGTAAAGCTTTTCATTCATTGTATCTCCATGTTGGGGAAAGCTGCACCCACTGAATTTCTGTGTGTCACGAATTTCTACTGAAAACTATCTCAAGAAATGAATAATCTCTTTAATTTCTCCATGTGGCAAAGATTTTCAACATGGCTGTTTAAGAAAGGACTCTCAGTGGTATTCCCTGAGTCAGTGCCTGGGGCAAACCCATGATAAAGATGCTCAGATTCAGCTAGAAATAGCCTGACACTGGGCCATGTGACTAGCTTTAAAATAGTCTGGTTATTTTTTGACTATTTAAAGAAGACTAGCAGTAGACAAGGTCTTGTATGTGAATAAACTAAGATAATAATATGGCATAGCTCACTTTGTGGTTATGGGGTAAAGCATCAGATCAAACAGTTACAGAAACGAGCATTAGTCTTCGAAAAATAACCCAGATGTTAGCAGTTTGTGGGCCTCCAGATTTTTTTCTTGTTCTTTTTTGACATACAGGCTCCATGATCCTTTAACACTGACTATACTGATTAGGGCTGATAGAAGTTCTAGGCCAACTATCTGGACCATCCAGAGCTCCAAATTTACCCCTCATCGTTTTAATAACTTCAGGGAAAAAGCAGGGAAAAATTCAATAGGTTATGTTTTCCTCTTCTCATTTCTGAATTGACCAAACTTGCAACTATACCAATTTCCCCCTCAAATAACTTTTAATGACTTTCACTGGGTGACTTTGCAACATCACACTTGCCCAGTAAGCTTACAATGGGTTGTTTGCTCACTAACCCATGTTACTCTGACAGACGATTAGGCACTTTAGGACTTACCATAGCTTGTTTACTGCTCTGGCTGCTCCCAGTAAATATCCCATAAGCCTTTGCAGCACAATCTCAGCAGCTGAAGGATTAGTCCAATGAGCATATTTGTGCTCATTAACAGAATAGTTTGTTTGTTTTTATTTAGAGAGATTTCCCCTCACCTTTGGAGAGATTTGCACAAATTTAACTTAAAAAAAACTTTGAGAAGATTTTCATAAATCCAGTAGAGCACATTAGGTATTCTGCTTTTAGCTCAGCAAAATAAATATAAATTTAAAATATAAAGATAAAAATAATACTGCATTTTCACAAAGCTCCCTGAAAGCAAACAAAAAATATGTTAAATTTGCACAAATTCTCCCCAAAGATGAAAAGTATTTAAATTTCTGCAAATCTCTGCAAGATGAAAAAAAAAAATTGCCACCATCTATGGAAGCCACTAAGTGGTGAAATTTGACCAGTATTATTTCAAGATATAACAAAGAGGGCATATTGCTAGGGAAATTATGAGGAGTGGCTAGCAAACTTTTTCACAGGTCCTAGGAGGAGTTCTGCCATTTTCAATAGTCCATGCTGAAGTGACTCTGCTGGATTGGGCCATCACAACAAGCTAGTTTGAGGACAAGCTACCCTGAACAACTCTGCCACAAGTCATGGGTTCTCAGACTGGCTTGCTGTGAAAAACCCATGATAAAAAAAACCATGTCAAATTTGGCCACCAGCATGCTGCAAGCATCCGGGTGACACCCCACCATGGCTTAGCAAGATGTATGGACAAGGTTTGAGTGCTGTTGGCAAGTCTCCCAAGCTAGCCCATCTCATAGGACTGACTACAAAAGTCAGTAACTTGGGACCTTCTCTTTGGATATAGCAGGAAAGAATTACAAATTAACCAGTGCATGCAAACACCTTAATGATGATGATCATCATCATTTTAAAATGCTACACTGCTTAGCAAGCATTTAACCCAAGCCAAGTGTGTTCGGTAGCAAGGACCTTAACGCTCGGCAACGCCACCGAACAAACAAGAAGCAACCTGTTAGAAGTTCATCACAAAATAAAAATGGGGCGTGCAAGCCCCGCGCAGCGCATGGCAACTGTGCGCGTGGCTGCGTTTCCGAGCAGCACCAGATCCTCGTGGAATCCGCCCCGCGCTTTTCCTTCGGCCTTCTTGCTAACTTGTTCCAACTAAGTTTAACATTTGGATAAGTCCCGGCGGCGCGAGGAGTGAGCGGGCTTCTTCTTGGGGGGAGAGTGAGCGCTAGGGGGCAGCGGCTGATGGTGGGGCTGGCCGGGTTGCCAGGAGGACAGAGGCGCTGGGCTCGGATGAGCAACAGAGGCTGCGGGAGGAAAGGCGGCTCGACGGGAGCGGCCTGGAGTTAGGCAGGGGTCCTCCACCCCGTCCTCTCTTCCTGACCGATCGCAGGCCCATTTCCCTCATTCGGCCGCCTTGGGCTTCATTCGTTTGGGTTTTGTCTCCTGGTCGCAAGCGGAGCCCGTTCTTGGGTGTGCTCTCCATCCACTGAGCCCGGCGCTAAGTTGCCCCGATGAGGCTGTGGGGTTTGCTGCTGGCAGGTGAGTCTCCCTCGAGTCCACCTCTCTCCTTTTCCGTTCCCACCCCCTGCGAGAGGGGGACGAAAGGATCGGAGGCAGGATGGCACCTGCTTGTCAAAACCGACGCCCGCTCGGGAGGTTGGCAGCAGAGCAGTTCTCGGGGCGGCTGAGCTCGGGAAGCCTCCGACCAAGGAGGGGCGCAGTGAGCCCCGTGCGTGAAGGGGCTGCGTGTGCGGGCGTGTGTGGTGTACCCGCCTTGTGACTTGGGGCCTTTTTTCCCTGGGTCAGGCCCCAATATGTCAGTGCCAGCCTAGCCCTACCGTCAGAGTGAGGGGCTGCTGCTGGCACCCAAAGCTGGAGAAAGAGCCTTTTTGCCTCACACAAATAGCCTGCCTGCTCCCCACAGATCCTTGGCAGGGTCTCCACAGCGCTCTGCTTCATCGTGTGTGAAGCTGGAGCCGACTGCACCCAGAAACCCTGCTTCTCCGTGTACGGCACGGCATCCCTCACCAGCCAGGAGCCCCCTCACATGTTTGGGACTTTGGCTCCCAAACGCCCCAGCCACTGGTCAGAGGTGCTGGGAGTTGTGATCCTGAATAACAGGTTCAGAACCACTGTAGTGACATGTATCTTAAGCTCCCACTCTCAGTATATTGTTGTTGTTATTGTTTATTACATTTTAATAGGCCTAATAAGTAATGTTCTATGGGCAAATTACTGTTTGTAATTTGTCCAGAAGACATCGTAGTACATGATGATCTGGATTATATTGATTAAGGTGTCTGTCAGTCTCTGAGACGTCAGGATGGATTTCCCAACTTAGCACTATGATTCTAAGTCCCTCTTCCTAGAATGCCCCACCAGTTTGGCGTTTCCATGGGGTTTGTTAATGGACAGGGTGCTGTGTTACTTTCCACAGCTGCATGACAGCAGAAAGTCAACAGGTGCTGCTCTTCTTGCAGCAAGATGCAGTGATGAGAAAAGCTTTGCCTGCTTATTTTCTGCCTGTTATACCAATCTCCAGTTCCTTCAAACAAGCAGCCCCACCCTGTGCATGACTATGCAGCAGAAATTCTCATAGGAATAATACGATGTTCTCTGAGGTAACTGTGCACAGGATTACACCTAACATTACATTGTATGGTTTCTGTGCCAGTGCCTCTTCATGAAGTGTGCGTATGTGTCGGTGCGCATAAAAATATGTGTAAAAGAGATCACCTTATGGCTTTGGCAAAATTTTTAGCATCTAAGGGCCTCCCTTTCACTCAGTTCTCAACTAAGTGTTATCAACACTCTGTACATAATTTAACCCCGAATTATTTGGAATAAGTGTACTCACTAGATTAAGTATCATAATCATTGACTCCTGCTTCACTTGCCATCTATTGAAAGAATGGAACGTCTTATTTTGGCTACACAAGGGGTATGTTAAAGGGCAAAACTGATCCATATTAGCTGTGTTTTCAGGAGCAATTTAATAGGAGCTACTTGACATGCTTCAGTCATTGAATCATCTTAATAAATAGGATGATTAAAAGATATATCTTCATACCCTTTCAATTCATGCTAACTGGTAGAGCTAGAATCCTAATCTGTCTTTGTGACCATGAATCCAAGAGGTGCCTGTTACTCTAGAATCTAGAATTCAGATGGTTTAATTCAGACTAAAAAGAGGATAGCAAGGAAGCAAGGTAAATTTAAACTCTGGACTTAATTATCTTGGGGACCCCTCAGAAATCCAACTATACTACATCGGTAATGACCCACACAACTAGCATTTCTCTTCTTCCTAATAAGTTAGGACAAGAACAACAAAACTATTTGCCTACCTGATGTTTAAAAACTCAGGCATCATGCACATGTTCATTTTAAACTCACTTAAATCATAGTATTGTCATGACTACAGAAATAAAATGGAGCTTGCTTCCTCTGACCTGAGGTCCTGACCCTTTGCTGCTCCCTGGCTGGTCATTTGGGCAGCCCCTGGGCTCCAGAACCCTGACTTTGGTCCAGAGGTCCAGTCTTAGCTGCATTTTTGGAAATGTGGTGGTTTGTATGTTGTGTAAGTGATTTCCACTGTCTGCCTTTTAGGGTCCTTGTCTATTCCACAGAACTTTGGAAAGGTGGGTCTCTCTGTCTCCCTCTCCTGCTGCCTCCAGAGTGATATGGGAGGGTGGTCTGTGTATCCCCACCCCACCCCCAATTCCCAACCAACCTCAGTGCTGGGAAGCTGCACATCCAACATCCAAGCCTACCAGTCTTTGTCCCTGACGCCCTTTGAAGCTCTGGCTCCAGGGGATTTGAGGCTCAGGGAGCTGGCAAGGTGCCTGGGAGCAGCCGGCAGTGCACAGAGGTGGTGTGTGTGTGTGTGTGGGTGTGCACACGAGGGAAACGAAGGATCCCACACCTGCTACAGGAGTCAGCTGCTGCAGCAGTCCTGGCTGCAGTGAAATAGTAGGGATTATGCAGGCAGAGGAAGGAATGGTCCTTGGCATCTCTGCCGCAGCCACAAAACCCTCCCCAGCCAGCCGCAGGAGTGGGAGAAGGCCTGGGCATCCAGAGGGACCCAGCGGTGTCTGAGTTGTAATCCCTGTGTGGTGCACTGTGCTGCTGCCTTCCTTTGACAGGCTTTCCCAGATGGACATGCTCTCTGAAACTCAGCCATCCTTCACAACTCAACCCCCAGCCCCCACATCGTTGGCCCAGGGCCAGCCTGCCTGGCCGAACAACAGAGCCAATCCAGAGCCAATCCCCGGCAGGGTTATTTCTGGCAGCTTCCGCTCCCTCCACTCTCAGGCCCTGTGGAAGGGAGGGGAGCACAGGGGCAGAGGAGACTAGCGGCGACATGTCACCCTCCAGCCCCACCCCTGCGTGAGCCACCAAAACAGGTGGAAATGTGCCTCTGCAGGAGGTGGAGGCCGTGCCTGAGGAAAAGGAGCCCTGCTCTGCATGAAAGGAGCCTGGGATCCCCCGACACCAGCAATGCGCCAGGTCACAAGCATTACCGGTCCTACTCTCCAGGTTCTACTGTGTGGCCAGATTCCAATAGCAAAACTCACTCTGCTATCAAGCTGCATAGAGCCCTTTAGCCTGCATATTGTTTTGCTGAATGTGTAGTGGTTTTGTCCTCAAAGTAACTCTATGAAGTGGGTCACTGTGATTCCCTTTCAAACACAAAACAAACGGAGTGGCTTCTTCAAGACCATGGAGTGACAGGGTTTGCTGTCTTACTGCAGGGGGGTCTGGCAGTGCATGTTGGGTAACTTTTGAATATTTCTGGTTTTCTGAACATAGCAAGGGTGGGTTGTTGACATGGCTAGCAAACCACCCAGAGCCCCTGAGCTGGTTTCTGGTTTTAGTGTTGTGGGTGGTTTCTTAATCATGCCAACAACCCACCCTTGCTGGGTTCAGATGTTACAGGAAACCATAATTGTAGCTTGAATATTTGGAATGGCTCCCTGAATGTGCTGCAGCCCACCAGGGCTTAAATAAGTCACAGTGGGCTGCTTGATCATGCAGCCTGGCCCAGTGACCTAGCTTGCATGATGGCCTATTTGGGGTTATCTGAGGATTGTTTCCCCCTCTGATAAGCCATGCCAATTCAGTTTGGATGGCATGACAATCCATGTCCAGACTGGTAATTGGGGAAATGGCAGCCTCCCATGTGTGGCAGGTCAAAACAAGCTTATCTGATTGTGTGAATTATTAAATTGCATTTATATCCCACTTTTTTCTCTTTTTCTCGTGAGGAACACAAGGCAGCTTACATAGCTCCATTGTATCCTCACATCAAGCAACCTTGAGAGGTAGGTTGGATGGAGAGTCTGTAACTGCCCCACAGTTCCCTAGTGAGCGCCGTGGCTGAGTGGAGACAAGGAACCGGATCTCAGGGACCCCTGCTCCAACTGCTGCGCCGCACTGCATCTCTGAATTAGTCCAGAGAGTCCCTGGGAGAAGTGGAAGTTCAGCCTATGTCCTAGGAATATAGGCGGCTGCCTGCCACCGAGTCAGACCATGGGCCTCTCTACCCCAGTGTTGCTTATACTGATTGGCAGCAATGGCAATCCAGGTTTTCAGCCAGGAGTTTTTTTAGTTCTGCCTGGAGAAGTTGGGGACTGAACCTGGCACATCTGCATGCAATGCAGGGGGCTCTACCACTGTGGCCCAGCCCAAGGATTTTTGCTTTGTCTTTAGAAAATTCTGAGTTGCTTCTATATGTTTCCATTCAGGTCAGTGATTTCTTGTATATTTCCTTAACTTCCTTAACAATCAATAAATGTCACCATTTCAGTAGGATTGGTTTCCCCAGAGTAGTCCTCTAAGATTGGATCGTGTTGATGTCTCCAAGTATGTGGCTGTTAGATGAAGTACACTCTTCGATCAGTTCCCCACTTCCTAATTTCTTGGTCATCAGAGTACATTTGCTCTTTCTCTCACTCTCTCTTACGCTCCTGCTATTATGCCCTTCCTCCATCCCATTCAATTTCCCCTCCCTTCTTCTAGACAATTACACTTTAATTATGCTGGAGCAGGGGCATTTTCCAAACTCTCAGACATCTTGCATTATCTCTCTATAGTTTGCCCTGTAGTTTGGGGCAAAACAGGATGTGAATCTGGAGAAACCTGAATGGGAATAAGTTTTCAAGGGTTAAGAATAGCTAACCTGGGCAGGGTTTTTCAATCAACCCCCAGTGCTGGTGGGGGGGAATAGCTCCCCCCCATGAAGGTCTCCTTCCTTCACTGATTTGCTCATAGGGTGAAATATACAGCTATGTGTATACCTGGGAACCTGTATTTCAAATCTAGGCTGCTGGTAGCAATAAAGGAGGAGTCCCCATAACCAGTGCTGAATTATACTTTGGGAGAACAGTATTTTAAGCAACCTGTAAGCACAAGTTGCAAATATAATAAAAATAAATAAACTGGAGAACAGCAATAACATTTCTCTGCCAGAAAACCTCAGATTCTTTACTCAAAACAAACTGATGCTGTCCAGCAGGAGCATAAAAAGGGGTTATTTTGCAAAGGCATAAGGTTCATAAGGTGTCATGGTGTCCCTCACCCATTAGAATGTTCTTTGGCACAGGGACAAAAGTGGAGTGGTGATAGGTAAGTAGCAATGTATGTGAGTGGGGAAGGAATAGGTTTATGTGAATAAAGGAACTTGACTGGAAGCCAAGTGGAAGGAGCGAGGCCAAGAATGCAGAAGGGAATTTTATTTGCCAACCGCTGCCCCTATATTGTCAAGAAAAAATAAGGCATACAAAGCAGCAGATCAAATGGAAGTACCCACAAACTGCGCTTACAGGAAAGCCTATTGTCCAAAAAACAAAAGGTATCAATCAGATATATTTTTCATATAAACTGGTTTCTCAGGAATTTGAGGGACGGGGGGAAGAATCTCAAATCTCAGTAAGAGTGCAGTGATAACATGTTGTTTAATTTGAGTATTATCCAAACAATTATTAAAGTACTACTGATTTCAGTGACAAAGCTGTGTGCAATAACCTGGAAGTAAATTCCAGTTAACTCAGCATTGCTTACTTCTGTGTAAGCATGCACAGAATTGGACTGTCAATTTCTCACTGAAATTAGTGGGACTTTAAACATGTTTAGCCTTGGCTGGATTGTCTGTGCCTTTTATTTCTATTTCACTGGTAACTCATGAGGGATGGAACCTTGCATTTAAAAGATAAAAGCTGAAAGTATTGATCTAAGGTCCCTATAGTTCCCCAATTATTGGTGGTCAGTTATGACCACAGATGCTGTTACACTATTTACTTCCTAATATTAAAAGTCTTATCATTATCCTGAAGACTTTTTCCTGTCTTTCCTTTTTCTATGAATAAATCCTTTTTTCTGTGAATAAATCCTCTACCACCTACCATATGCTTGCTTATGGCTGACATGCCCTTGAAGAACTGCACTGCAGGAAAAAAAAAACCCTTCAGTAATCTTTACAGCTGAAAACTCAAGTCATACCTTTCTGTTTCTGGAACTCTGACTCTGACTCTGAGCAAACGGAAGTATTTTTCAGTGCACCTTTGTTCCCTGCCCACAGTGGAATGGGCCCTGTCCCAGAGTACCTCGTTCCGTGCTCACTACTTCTTCTTTGATCTTCATTGTCTCCACAGTACTGGGGGGAGTGATGTGCCAAGAGCCTGAGCCCCCCCATGGTTGTTCCCAAGGCAGCTGCTACCCAGCCACGGGAGATCTGCTTGTAGGCCGGGCCGACCGCCTCTCTGCCACCTCCACCTGTGGTCTGCGACGTCCCCAGCCCTACTGCATTGTCAGCCACTTGCAGGTGAGTGTTGCATAGCGATGAGAGGTGGGTGCAGCATCTGGTGATGGGTGGGAGTGTGTCAGGATGGGAGTCTGTCTTAGTGTCTGCTAAGAAAAAGCTGTGCACTCAGCCCATAAGTTCCTGCTTGGTCAAGGGGATGAGATAGCTTCCCCAAACTGCGACACAGAGTGGGTTGTCACTGGTTTACTTAGTGCCTAGTGAAAGTATGGGATTCATTTCCACAAGATGTAGCAATGAGTACCAACTTGACAAATTCATGGAGGAGAAGGTTTGCCTGGTACCGACACCTTGCTCCTTTTGGTGCCAGGCTAAAACCCTCTTATTGTCCCATTAGTTTAATCTTTGATTAGGTTTTAATGTGGGTTTTATTTTAGTGGAATCTATTTGGATGTTGTGCTTCATTTTACTATATGCTGCTTTTACTGTAAGACTATCTGAGACACTAGTAGTTGGATGGCACTCTGTACCCCAATTGCTGGAGAACATGGGCAGGAGGATGCTGATACACTCATGCCTGGCTTGTAAACTTCCTGCAGGCAGCTAGTGGACCACTGTATGAACTAAAGGTTGGACTAGATGGGCCCTCAGTCCAGTCCAGCATGGCTCTTGCTGATTTCTTGTGTTCTTAAGGGAGTGGGGACTTCAGAGGGAGCAGGAGGGAGAGGCATTTGAGGTTTGTTGTCGTGCTGGGCATTCCCCAGCTGCGACGCCATCCCACGCTTAGAACTGGATTCCCTTCTGTCTCGTCAAACCGAAGCAGTGTTACATCCAGGGCTGAAGTCCAGGGCCCTGCAGCAAAGGACTCTCCTCCCAAACGACCTCCCAGAAACCAGGAGGTGATGAGGCACTGGCCAACAGGGCCCACTGGAGCTGACACTGGCACTGCAATGTGATGTGTCTACCTGTAGCACAAGTCCTGATGTGCAATAATTTAATTGAGCTTCATATGCAAAACAGTCCATGTTCAAAGCATTTTTTTAAATCAGAGGCTAATACTTTGGGAGGGGATTTCTGTAACATCAGGAATGTAGAAGCTGTTGCAATAGTGGTGGATGTGAGGCGAAAAGAAATGTACATCACAACTGACAAAATACACATGGCTATCTATAGGAGTACTGCATAAGATCATCTTGGACAGAAAAAAATGCCTATAATTTCCAGCAAGCCTTACGTCAACAGGACTGGCTGGGCCACGCTAGGAATTACAGGATACATGTGTGTGGATGTAAACATGCGTAGGATTATGTCTTTAGCCCGTGGTACCAAATTCCTTGGTCACATCACTGTGCAGAGACTTGAGTGTATTCTGCAGTTTGTGGTGGTGAGGAAGCGCAGAATGGCACGCTGGTCAGCGAATACAATATCCTTAAAAGGCTACGCCCTTATTGAAATATGTATGCAATTTTCTAATTGTTATTGCAGTAGAGACAGAATTGAGAGTGTCCTTGTATAGATTTTCCTCTTATCATCATCAGCCATGATTTACAGAGGTTGCAGGATTCACATTTTTTCCAGGTGCAGAATTCTGGCAGGGAATGTTGCCATTTTTAAACGTACACAGCAACATCAGTTGCATGAGCGCCATGCCATACTTCATGTCTGCACACTGCTTTGTCTGTTTTCAATCCCTTTAATGCCAATAAATCATGCTCAGTGTTACTTGAAAATAAATAGGCTGTCATGAGCAACCAGGGAAGGTGCTCATACTCTGCCTGCAGCCATTCCTGTGGGCAGCTCTGCAGTGGGTTGCTTAGCAAGTTGCCTGAACCCAGACCTCCCTCAGGCGTGGTCAGGGGCTAAACAACCTAATGGTCTGTGTTCCAACACCACACTAAGCAACACATCCCTGAGCCACTTACGGGTTGCTGACAGCTGAAAAAAAAGTGGAAGTGTTAGAGCACTGGTGGCAAGACAGCTGTTTTTTCTCACTGGTCCCTGATGACCCATGGGTTGCTTAACCCATGGCTGTCTAGCTGTGAGAGCCAGCTCAGTGCATGCAGGTGATTCCTTGGTTTTGCAAGAGGGGTTCTGCTTCTTGCTAGCTATAGGAAAAGAACTAGGATCGAGGGTATTCCAGTTCAGAATCTTACTCAGCCCTGCAGATTCCTCAGTAGCATTGGGCCAGTCAGACTCCTTCACCTTCTTCAGCCCAATTCACTGACCCAAGATTATTGCGAGGCAAAAATAGAGGGTTGGGGACAGGGACCATGTGTGCCACCCTGAACTCGTCGGAGGAAGGACTGAATAAAAATATCATGCTTAATAAAACCAAAAATAACAACATTACGGAGTGCTAACATACACATACCCACTGGTAACTGGAGTTACTGCTTGCCAGCTTCTGAGTTTTTTTTACCAGACATGCTTAAAGCTTACCCTTGTAACCAAAACAGCTAATGTTACATGCATGCATCATGTGTGTATGCGCAGAGCAATATTTTTTAAAGATGCTATATTCCACAACAAACACCTTGTGTCTGGATCACCATCATGTGGAATATACACAGATCAGAGACACATGGGTGATTCCATCTTTTTAACAGGATGAGAAAAAATGTTTTACGTGTGACTCCCGTCGGCCCTATGACCCTGTGTCAAATCCCAAGAGCCATCGCATTGAGAATGTGATCACTGCCTTTGCACACTATCGCAAGAAGGCCTGGTGGCAGTCAGAGAATGGTAAGAAATTGAAGTTTCATCCTTCCTAGGCTGACATTATTTCTCTTTTGCAGTGTGTGCAAGGAGCTGTACAAGTCCTGCCCCCCATGCCCACTGTAGAACAGAGATTGGTTTGTTTCTTTGTAAAGTCTCCTGGAATTGCATTTTGAAGCACTGTTAGTTGCTGTTGTGGCTCCTGCCTGGGAGAAAAGGAGATGGTTTAGACCAGGGGTGGATAATTAATGCTGCGAGGGATGAATTCCTTAGTCTAATTCATCTGTCCCTCAGTGTAATTACTAATGCAGTGCTCATGAGATCAGAGTAGACTTCTGCCAAGAGCAGCCTGTCTCTTTGCTTGCAGCCTGCTGTGTGGTAAGGAAGAGGCAGAGAAAGAGGTGGTAGAAAGCGGAAAGGGGTGCTCTCCTGCACGCTTTGGCTTTGGCTCCAGCTCCATCCACTGCTACTATGCAACCCCTGACAGATTACTTATCAGGGAATTGCATTTTAAATTAAGGAACAGGCTTGAGTGTGGGTTCAGCTCAGAATTCCCCTTGTCATCATCCCCAATAGCTCACAAACTGTTCACACAAAAGCCCACTTCATGTTTCCCATCAAACTTTCTTTGGAGTAAAGTTTCCTTGGAGGGAAGTTTAACTGTTACCAATACTGTTAAATAATGGAATTGGAAGCTCAGCTCACTGATCAATGCCAAATCACCTGGAAATCTACCCACGCCTGTAAAATACCTTCTGTGTGGGCCACAGGATAAAAGAAGATACAAAATAGATGTGTTGTTGAGAACTCTAAATGCTGGAGTCATCTGGAGTAATTTGCAAACACTGCATTCTTGGATAGGTGGATCTTTGGTACAGGTTGGCTTGCCTTTGGGCAGGAAGCTGGAATAGGTGACCTTTCCATTTTTTCCAGCTCTGCAGTTCTCTTAGGGGACCCAACTTTAATTTCTTCACTTTATGTAAGTAAAGAAGCCCTTCTTTTATCACTGAAATGCAGACACACTTATTTCTGGACCTGTAACTCCTTTTTAAATAGTTTTTACCTGAGCCGTGAGAGGTAGAAACTTGAAGTAGGATCCAAGAGCTCCCTTCCCCTTCCAGAAGGAGTCTTCCTCTGTTGGATGAAGGAAAACGTTGGATCCAGCTTTTTTTCAGAAAAGAAAAGTTTGATTCTCAAGATTCAGCATCACTGCACAGACTTCATCATGCTGGAAGTGGAAGTGTCCAACTTTGGCTGAGCAGAGTTTTAGGCTTCTTGCCCCAACTATGTCTGTAACATCCATTCATTAATAACATGAGTTTAGCATTAAGTCTGCTCGTCTCATCCTGCTGAACAGACATACCCTGTCATGCCAGAATTATAGCAGGCAACCTCTCATCTGCTTCACTGGAGGAAAATCACTCCATCCGTGACCAGGACCCGTGTCTCTGTGTGCGTGTCCTTCCTTATGCTAGGGCTGTATAATGCCTTGTGGCAAGCCTATCGCCCAGCTGGGTGAACTCACCATGCCCTTTGTACGTGGGCAGGAAGCCTGCACAGAGTGTGCTCTTTGTTCAGGACATGGCCTGCCAGGGCACCCGGAGCAGAAGTGCAGAGGGTGCCCCTAGAGTCCCGTTGCTTTCCTTTCTCTCCCACGCAGAGGAAATGCTGAATCATACCAAATTGAGTCCTGTCTGTTCCTGGACCCTTGCCAGGTGGGGGTGAGGGGGACAACACTGCAGCTCAGAGGAACTTGGTGCCAGCAACTTGTCTCCAGCAGCCAGACTATCCATCCCTACATCCCAGGACACAACACGGGACCCACACATAATTAGGTTCCCACCCTAAAAGCAAATGACATAGGCGGTAGGTCCTTTGGCTCTCCACCTTGGCTTCTCTGCAGTCACTGGCACTACTTTCTTCTATATTTGCATTCAGGCAATTCTGCCTTCTTCTTTGCAGATGCATACACTGAAGGGTGCATGGAACGTATCTTTTCAGCAAGTCAGCTTTAAAAAATGTGAGAGCAGCAATGTGTAGCCAACTGTAATGCTACCCAAAATCACCCAGGGAGCTTCAAGATTGAGTCAAGTCCTAATCCAGTATTTTAACCACTATACACATGGCTGTCAATATGCCAGAATATTTTACCAAAACTATTAAAATGTTCTGTATAACTGCAACATTACTATATTTACTACAGACTTTTTATGTCTAAAAAGAAGTTTTTATATTGGCTCCTTCTTACCAAGTAGACTTTTGAACATAGATGTGGGTGTGTTCAGATCTGGACTCTTGAAAGGATCTTTTGCAACACAAGCACCAAGTGTTCCACAGCTTGCCACCATGAGGGTAAATGGGATTAGTAGACTAAAGACACAGTTGCTTAATCGAGGAGTAATTTAGTGAAGGAATTGAAGCATACATGCAAATGATCAGGCCAACGTGTGTACAAGCTACTCACCAATTGTTAAGGCAGACGTGTTAAAAGCAATAACTTGGTACACGTAACTAGCATGATGGGGGCTTGGTGGCAGGCCAGAAGTCCAGGCAGAAAGAGATGAAGGAGTGAGATAGATGTAGAGAAGGGGAAGGAGACAGGTGCGGTACCAGGCTGAACTTGTGAGCAAACTGCTTACAGAGAAACATTGAAACAGAGCGAGTCAGAAGGGGTCTCCCGGGCCATCTAGTCTGACCTCCGGCACCAGCCAGCTCCGCTCACGACATGCCCACCATGTGGACATCCAGCCTATCCTTGAACACCCTCACTGATGGGGCCTCCACGACCTCTCGTGGAAGCCCATTCCACACTCTCAGGGTCCTGACTGTCAGGAAGTGCTTCCTGGCATCCAAATGGAACCTTGGCTCCCTGAGCTTTGCTCCATTGGAGTGTGTCCTGCCTTCCTCTGCAGGGGAGAACAGGTCTCTACTCATCTCCATGTGACATCCCCTCACATACCTGTATGTCACCAACATATCCCCTCTGAGTCTCCTCTTCTCCAGGCTGAAGAGACCCAGTTCACTCAGTCTCGCCTCGTATGGCATCCCCTGCAAACCGGCCACCAACCTTGTGGCCCTACGCTGCACTGACTCCAACCTGGCTATATCCTTTCTGTAATGAGGGGCCCAAAACTGAACACAATACTCCAATTGTGGGCGCACCAGAGTCGTGTAGAGTGGTAGTAATACTTCTCTTGATCTAGAAGCCACACTTCAGGCTATGCAACCAAGGCTGGCGTTCGCCCTCTTGACCACCGCATCACACTGCTGACTCATGTTTAGCCTGCAGTCAACCAGCACCCCGAGGTCCCTTTCACTAGTGCTGCTCTCCAGCCACTTGTCACCTAACCTGTACTTATGGCACCTATTCCTATGCCCCAAGTGCAAGACCTTGCACTTATCCACATTGAACGCCATCCTGTTGTCTCCTGCCCACTTCCATAGTCTGTCCAGATCCTTTTGGATCTGGAGTACCTGCTCCTCAGTTGCGGCCACTGCTCCAGTTTTAGTGTCGTCTGCGAATTTGATCAGCAGACTGTTCACCCCTTCTTCCATGTCGTTAATGAAAAGATTAAACAGGATCGGCCCCAGGGCAGAGCCCTGGGGGACCCCACTTGTCACTGGCCGCCATCCCGATGATTCCCCGCTAATGGTTACCTTCTGCTTTCGGTCAGTCAACCATGCCCTAATCCACCGGACAGTGCTTTGGTGTATCCCAAAACTCCTCAGTTTCTCCACCAGGATATCATGGGGCACTTTGTCAAAGGCCTTGCTGAAATCCAGGTATACCACATCCACTGCATCCCCTCCATCTAGCCATCTCGAAACCTTGTCATAGAATTCCACAAGGTTTGTCTGGCAGGACCTGTTTTTGCAGAAGCTGTGTTGTGTGGCTGTCAGCCTCCCTTCCCTATCTAGCATCACTAGATCTCTCTCTATTATGAGCCTTTCCATTGTTTTTCCTACAATGGACATAAGGCTAACCGGTCTATAATTCCCCATGTCCTTTCTACTACCCTTTTTGAAAATTGGGACCACTGATGCCACCCTCCAGTCCTCTGGAGCTTCACCTGTTCTCCATGAGGTCTCAAAAATGGAGGCCAGTGGGCGTGAGAGAACCCCTGCCAACTCTCTAAGTACTCTTGGATGTAACCCATCAGGGCCTGGCGCCTTTGTAATGTCCAATGCCCTGAGGAGCCCCTTGACTTCAAGGGGGGGTGACTCTAATCTGTGCCCCTAAGTCCCCAGCCTCATCTAATCTCCTATGCGGATATCCCCCGTCCTGCTTTGGGGAGAACACAGAGGCAAAATAGTCATTTAGCATCTGTGCCTGTTCCCTCATATGAGTCACTGGATCTCCTTCCTTCTTATTTAGTGGTCCCACTATTTAGTGGTACCAACCACACATGCTTGGGCAAAAAATAGGAAAAGGAGTAGGCAATATATTTTCTTAATGCCCCAAAGTGCAGTGCTATGCATGCTTGGATAGCAAAAAGTTCCAACATGGCTGGTGAGGGAATGCTGGGCTTTGTAGGACTTCCTTCTTATGAAGCCTGCATTAACTGCAGCCTAAATAGCAGCAAAAAAGGCTCAGGTGAGAATTCAGGGAGCCACTGAAGAAAAGACCACTCCATAAATGTTTCCTTTACAGGGAGATTGTCAGCAGAGCTTCCCCCTAAGCCATATGCAGGGTGTGATTTGCTTATTTCAAACATTTATACCCTCTTTTGGAGCATGGCTTCTCAAGGCAGCAAACAAAATCAGTTGCAAAACCTGACAGATAAAATAAGCCATAAAATCTTATGAGAGAGGGGCTACCTAGGCTACATAGGCCAAGCATAATATGAGGGCTACTTCAGTCCTGCCTTATGCTTTGGCAGTAACATGTCAAATTCCTTTTTTTCTGGAAATGAGGACTCCTGGCAGGGCCAGATGCAGTTCTGAAGTGCTTTCTGGGATAGAGGAGTACAGCTGGACTTGCCTGGTGGCGGCTACAGGCAGCAGTGCTCCAACTCACAGCTGAGTGCAGCCATTTTAATTTCCTAGAATGCGCCCAATAAGTGCTTCTTCATGACATTGTGGCCCAGCTGACAGAGTGGAAGTGAGGAAAAGAGGGGTACCAGGGAGGTATCAGCAATGTGTCCAGTCATGGTGCTGAGATCTTGGCTGTCACCCAAATATGTTGCATAAAATCCACATATGAGGACTATATTTGAGGGGTCCTGATCTTTCAGGGCCCTGGACCTGCTATGTCCAGTGACCTAGCCCTAATGATGCCGCTGCCTAATATAGTCTGAAAAGAGCTGTCCCACTGAATGGTGGTTTGCCGGGGCTTAAGACGAATCTCTCTGTTCGTCCCTCCCTCTCCAGGTGTGGAACAGGTCAGCATTCGCCTGGACCTGGAGGCTGAGTTCCACTTCACTCATCTCATCATGACTTTCAAGGTATGTCTCACTTGGGGAAAGGTGGGCTTTTACCCCAGGGAAGGCTCTGTGCTTCCTTCTTTTTCTGGGAAGTACAAATGCACTGGTAACATCCAAAATAGATTACTGCAATGCTCTCTACATGGGGCTGCCCTTGAAGACAGTCTGGCAATTACGATTGGTACAGAACAGAGCTGTTTGGTTGGTGATGGGAACCCCTAGAGTGGCCCACATAACACCTACATTGAAAGAACTCCATTGGTTACCAACTGTGGCCTGAGCCCAATTCAAGGTGCTTGTGTTGACATGTAAATCCCTAAACGGCATAGGCCTCAGTTACCTTAAGGAGTGCCTGCACCCACGTGTGCCTACCTGGCCTTTGAGATCTATGCAGCGGGACCTCCTGGGTGAGCCGTCCCTTAAGGAGGTGAGAGGGAGGGCTGCTAGGAAGAGGGCCTTTTCTGCTGCTGCTCCCCATATTGGAATGCTCTCCCCAAGGGATCCTGATTCCTTATATTCTTTTCGGTGCCAGGTGAAGACTTCCCTTTTTAAAAAATATTTTAGTAGATAATTCCACCTGACCTTTTGTTTTGTATTTTCATCTGTATTTTATTAACACTGTATTTTAATATGTTGTAATTAGTTTTTATTGTGTTGTATCTTATGATTGTGAGCCACCCAGAGGTGCTGTGGCACAATTGGGTGGCATACAAATGTTTTAAATAAGTGAGTGAGCGAGCTCCAGCATTCTTTTTCCTTCTGCCAGTGTGTACATTTCCCCACAGGCCGGGGAACCATGGCTTAGCAGTCAAGTCCATGTTTCACAGGTGGAAAGTCCTCAGTTCAGTCCCTGGCCTCTTCAACTAACAGGAATGGGTAGCAGACGTTGGGAAAGACTCCAGTGTTGGGACCCCACTGTTGCCTGCCAGTGGGGAGAGCTAGTGGGGGACAAGCTGGATCAGGACCATGAGGTGGCGGGAAGGAGGGGCTTGCATGCTTTGATCAGGTCACAATCCCGGTGGGAACCTGCGCTCACAACAGATGCCTGCTATTTGCACCAGGAGGAAAGTTCTGGCTGAGACCATGACAGGGGCAACAGCGGCAATTCAGTGCAGGACACACGCCATGCGAAGTAGCTCTCTCCTTTGGCCTGGCAGTGGCTGCCTCCCCGTGCAGTCCTTCTTCAGACATGGAGGGATGTGGGGAAAGGTGGGCATGGCTCATTACCTCCTCTTCAGTATTTTTTAGCATATGCAACATACATCCAGGGGGATGGGTATCTGTTCATCATATTACTGCTGAATTAACTCAAAATTAGTGAAGGGTCAATTACTGCTTTGTCATTTTATTGTGGACTTTCTGCTTTTACTGACATTGCAGAAGAGAGCTGGGAAAATTCTCTTTAACTTGGCAAGAATACGAAAGTCTGGATTTCTTTTCTTTTCTTTTTTTAAGGGGTTTAATTATGTTCCAATGCCCCAAGATGGAAAAATCAAAATACAGTTGTGAAATATTTTCTTGGAATAAGCAGAGTTTCAAAATTAAGCAAGGGAATTATTAAAATGTCATTTCCAAGAACTTGCTAGTAAATGTTCTGTTATCTAACAGTGATTTGTAGGATGACTAGTTTTTTTCTATTTCTGCCTAGTGTGCAGCTGCAGCTAGATGTGATATTACATAGCAAGTGTAATATTCTGTATATTAGTCTCACTTAAGGTTTAAGGCATGATCCATGATGGCTGGAGAATGCTGGGAGTTGTAGGACTTTTTTCCCTATCTAAACAACCATAATATCGCACCTTTAAAAAGTATTTATATGCCAACCAAGTTATATGTAATATATTAAAAATAGAATAAAGTTTAATTTTAATGTTTCATTCATTTCATTTATTATGTTTAATTACTATCCAATAGCTGAAGCGCTCCATGTGTAGTATAAAACTTACATAGACTCATATAAAGATCTCCCTCTCCCTCCCCTCTCTCTCTCTCTCTCACACACACACACACACCCTGAACTATTTTTATACAATCAGTAATTAAACTCCAGTACCCTTTTTAAAAGAAGTTAATTATTGTAGAGGTTTCAATATTTTTCCATTCTGATTTTTGTTTGTTTCTGGAGACAAAAAGGAAAAGATTTTATTTCAGAACAAATTATTCCTTTATACTCCCTTTCTTTATTGGTTTCTCTTCCTCTTCTTGTCTTCATCTAATTTCTTTCTGTTTACAATCACATGTCTCCATAATATTCACTGCTCAGAAGCTCTCAAACTTGGAGGCTTCCGAGATTCCTTGCTGGGCTGAAGCTGGCAGAGCAGGAGAAGTAAAGAAAGTGATCTTGCCTCCCAACCCTCTGGTCTCCTGAATGTTTAGCCCATCTAGAAAGGGCGCTTTGGAGTGGAAGGGAAGGTGGCTGGATGAGTCTCTGGATCAGTCGTATTCTGGCCTGTCCAGTGTCTTCCTTCCCTGACCACTGGAAAGCTCCCTTTACCTTCCTTTCTTAGGCTGCTTTTCTCACCTTGGAGAGGCTCAGCCAGGGACCATAGAATGACTCTCTGTATCTCTGTTCTGTTCTTCCTCTGTGTGTTTCTCATTAGCTGCTGCCCTACTGGCCAGGTCAGATTCTTTGCACACCTAGCCCAGTGCTGCTCTAGCTAGCAGCCACTCTTCAGGGTCTCAGTCAGAAAAGGGTCCTTCGCATCACCTGCTACTCGCAGCTTTAAATAAAGAGGCCAGAGACAGAACTTGGGACCTTCCTTCCGCTTGAAAAGCAGGGCTTTCTCTGTCACTAACCTAGGGAGGCAAGAGACATTCATTTCCATTTTTCATCAGGATTTAAAAACACCTTGTGAACTGATCTCAGACACACCTGTGATTGAAATCCATACATTACATGCTTGTTGCTGGATTTGCAGACCCAAAATAATGTGTGCAATGGCATTTACCCAGTGGGCAAAAAATTTATTCATTTCAGAGAGGTTCACAACTGATGCATATACAATAGCTTTTTCCTTTGAAAAGGAAAAACAAAGCTTGCAATCTGATAGAGACTCAGGTAGTTGCAGAAATATCCTGTTACCCACAGCTCTTTCCCTGTGGGTGATTCCAGAGAAGATTTTAATGGCATCATTGTCTAGCTTCATTTACAGAATGTTACTCAGTTCTGAGCAATTCTAGATGCTATCATCATCTTAATCCTCCGTATTATTACTATTTCTCTGTCTTCCAGTTTTAAAGAAATGGTACATTTCTGCACAGTTTTGTGTCTCTGTGTAGCTTCATTTGAAAGACAGAAATTCCTTTCTATACGACAAACCATTTCTGTGGAAACTGTTAGCAAAGGAGTAGATCCCTGTAGAACAAACAGAAGGGAAGCAGCGCAAACACAGTGAGCAGTTGTTTAAGAAGACCAAAGGAATTACGGCTACTTCATATGTATACATGTGATGTAGCCAATAACATATGCATCTAGGGCCTGGGTCACCCATACACATTTGTCCCTTGACAACTGCCTCATCAAGTGAGCACTTACAACAGGTGAACGGGCTGTTGTAGATGATCTACACCATTTCTCCCCATTACCAGACAACCATTCTGGGCATGCTCAAGGCTCCCCGTGTATTCTCTGTTCCCGCAGACTTTTCGGCCAGCAGCCATGTTGGTGGAGCGTTCAGCAGATTTTGGGCGCACCTGGCAGGTGTACCGCTACTTTGCCTATGACTGTGCTGCATCCTTCCCGGTGGCCCCCCGTGGCCCCCTGAGGCGGGTGGATGATGTCATCTGTGAGTCACGTTACTCAGACATTGAGCCCTCTACTGAGGGAGAGGTGAGTGCAGGGCAGGGCAGGGATCTCAGGGGAATTGGACTGGGGGTCAGGTGTGGATGCAGTTCATTTAGTCTAGGATGTTGAAGTTCTTTCAGCATGAGAGCCAATTTTCATTTGCCAGAAGCAGTGGGTGGTGTGGAAAGCGAAATGAGGTTGGGCTGAAGGCAAAGGGATGGCACCCAAAGTACCAGAAATACTAGCACATATTATGTTAAAATTCTTATTTCCAGCCATTAAGCCATAGGAGAGGCATTTCAGCCTTTTAGGATGGGGGAAAACTGCATAAAAGCTGGATAACCACCAGACAATCAGTGGTTGGGGAGGGAAAAGTGGGCAGGTGAAGGGAGGTGGCCCTCTAGGGAACCTTGCACTACTTATCTGGCCCTTGGGCCTGAGGTTCTGAACCCTCAGATACAGCACCAGAGAGATGGTGTTGGCCATGCCTTGATGTAGCACCCAAGGTTAGCACACCCTGGCTTCTCCTGTCTTTCCTCCTCACTGCAGGTAATCTACAGGGTGCTGGACCCGGCCATCCACATTCGTGACCCCTACAGTCCAAAAATTCAGAGTGAGTCTCTCTGTGGGATGTGGGCTGAAAAGATAAGTGTAGAGACTCGGCACACAATAAATCCTGATGAGAGAGAAGGTGGACCCCTGGCATTCTGACAACTGAAGGAGGGGGCCTCTTGGGATGTGTCTGCTGCAGCAAACATTTCCATGGTCTGAGGGTGGCATGTTGGCCTTAAGACAAATTTCATGCTTCTCTGGACGTATCAATATGTTGTTTTAATCAAGGAAACTGCCTTTATGCTCCTTGATAGAAAGGTGAAGACGACAGACAATAACTTAAGAGCACAATGCTATAACCTCCCACCTCTCCTGAAAGGCCAGAGGATTCCTTGGAGTCCCAGCTCTGAGATCCTGTGATCTCAGAGCTGGGACTCTGAAGCTGATCCCACCCTCCACCCCCTCACAGCTGGTGCAGAAAGAGCCATGGATTTATGCTCACTGTAACTGGCATGCCAGCCAGCCTCCCTCCCTTGTTCTCCCAGTGCTAAATCTAGATGGCTGGAAATTGTTTGAAGGCTTGCTAGCATCTGCTGCGAGAACAATAGGATTGTGCCCTAAGCAATATGATAATTACTTAATCCATGTACACACAAAGGAGAAAGAGAGTTAGGGCTATGTGCTGATTTGTAAACAGCAGCTTATTAGCGGGAGTGTTTTCCAAATACATGCACTCAGGCATCACACATTGATTGGATTTCTCTTTCTAATACCCACTGCCTTCTTCTCCATGAAAATGTCAAGAAGCAGGTTGTTCTCCTTTTAGAGGTGCATTTCTGTATCAACAAAGGCTAGATGGTCTTTGAGGTCACATGCAGTTCTATGTTTCTTCTGAAAAATATCCTTTCCCCCACCAGATCCAAACTCCCGCGTGAATAATTTTGCATCACAAACACTGGATGCCCCTCCTTCAGGGAATATATTCTAGATCAGGGGAGGGCTGCATATGGACCTTGGGCCTCTCTCTGTGGAGCCCACTGGCTCGGGGAGCCTTACTGTGGCCAAGCTGGTCAGAGTCATGGGAGCTTTAGCATCCCCCTTCCTCACTAATCCTATCCCCTCATGAATGTGTGAGTGTATGTACCTGTATGCATATACAATGAATATGGACGTATGTCTGTATGAATTTATTCAGTGTACATATGTGTGTGCACATGCCTAACCTACCACCTGGCACTTCTCATAGCACTCAGGGTTGAAAAGATCTCCCACTGCTATTCTAGAGAAATAGAGGCTTTCCTTCCCTAAGAGAAAGGATAAATATATACATACCCAAGTTATTTAGCAAGCTTTCTAATAATTCCCAGGGTTCCTAACATGGCCTGCAGCTGGCCCTGTCTTTGGTTCTATTTGGGGCAGGATAATTATGTCTCTAGACATGTTTCTGTTTTGGCAGTAGCTGCGTGTTGCTGTTAGCTCCAGGAGGTGCTAATGGTCAGGGAAGTCCTTCTCCATGTGGTGTGCATTTTTCTGATGATTTTTTCCCAAGAACTTATGGAGGCTGGCAACTCAGCCGTTTCATAGCCTGGTTAACCCCAGAACTTAGCTGGTCTCCAGTGCTGATGCTTTTCTCTGCCTTCCTTCTTTCCTTCTTGCTCTCTCATCCAACCCGTTTCTGTCTCCCAGATCTCCTGAAAGTCACCAACCTGCGGGTGAACTTGACCAAATTACACACACTGGGCGACAACCTGCTGGACTCACGGCGGGAGATCAAGGAGAAGTACTACTATGCGGTTTACGAGATGGTGCTGCGTGGCAACTGCTTCTGCTATGGGCACGCCTCAGAGTGCGCTCCACTTGCAGGCAGCCCTGCTGATGTAGAGGGCATGGTAAGGCCTCCTCACACCTACAGGAACACTGCCTGCCCTCGTGCCTCCACCGAACAGGTGCCAGCCCATCCCACAGAGGCTGCTTCTGTGCTTTTTTTTCCAATTTATATCCTGCCTTTTTCCTGCAAAGGGCTCAAGGCAGCTTACATCATTCTCCTCCTCCATCTTATCCCCACAACAACAACCCTGGGAGGTAGGCTGGGCTGAGAGGCTGTGACTGGCCCAAGCCACCCAGTTGGCTCCATGGCCGAGCGGGGACTAGAGCCCAGATCGCCTGAGTCCCGGTCCCAGGCTCTTCACCACCACACCACACTGGCTTTTAATTGCGGCATGTCCTGGACGTGTTCAGCAAAAAGAGTGCCCGCTGGATTTCTTCCTGCAGTACAGTCTTCCAGCTACCACAGGGCACAACTCCCACCCATCTGTGCTTTTCTGCCTGTCCATTTTCTCATTGACCTTCCCCACCATACTATGGCAACAACTGGCTGTGCTGCAGGGGGTGATGGGAGCTGTAGTCTAACACATCTGGAGGGTACCAGGCTACTCCAGTGCCCTCATTTCATCCCTGCCCTCAATATCTGCTGTAAGGCCTGTGGGCTGCTGCCAGATGTTATAGGTTCCAAAAACGTTCCTTCCTGTAGGGCCTTCCAGATGATGTACTTGTTGACTCTGCAAGGAATAGGTGCCAGTACTTCTAAATACAGCTGAGCTGGTAGAGGCTGAACCTCTTGTCTCATATTCCCTGATTTAAAAAAGGGGAGATGCAACCAGAAGAGTAAAAACTTAACTGATGAGCAGTGCCTGAACTCTGGGCTTTGGCAATTCACAGGCTCAGCCCAATGCATCTTGCCACTGCAAGTAAGTAGAATGGGTGGGTGGGCAGCACTGGTAGTGGCTGCCCACAAAAGGAGTGGCACTGACTGGCAGTACACCCAGCAACTTGCTCTGCAGTGCTCTGCCGGTTGCTCCCTGGCTGTAGCGAATGCCACAGTGGAAGAGCAGCTGGTGGGGCTCCAGAGCAGGCATTGGTGGTGGCTCAGAGGCAGCAGCTTGCCTTGTGGCAAAGGCAGCAGGTGGGGGAGAGGGGCTGCTTGCCACTCCCCCCACTCTGCCGCCTAATGTGGGTGCATCAGCCTGCGCAATGGCAGGGCTGGCCCTGGTAATCCTTCTGCTAACAAAGGGGAGAGACGGGGAATTATGCTGAACTCTGAAAATTTGCACTCTGACCACTGGAATATAATCTCCCTGTATTATTTGAGATTTCCCCCAAATGCACCCATTCTGAAGCTTATCATAAAAAATTAGAGTAACACTTTTTAGAAAACAATTTCTGGAGGATGCCAGCAGACGCCAAATGCCACTGTTGAGCGGCGATCTCCTGAGGAGGCATGATATATACAACCCACATGGCCTTTGCCTCTGTAGGTGGGCAGAAAGGTAACGAGTGGGGCACAGCAGGCCGGGGGAGGCACTGGATGTTAGTAAGGAATGCTGAGGACTGTCCAGAAGCCTGGCCATCTACACAGGCTGGAGAGCAGCATTTCCCATTCACTGTGGGTGGGGCCTGCTTTGCGCCCCTTATTTCTTCACCAACAGGTGCATGGCCGTTGCGTCTGCAAGCACAACACAAAAGGACTGAACTGTGAGCAGTGCGACAGCTTCTACCATGAGCTTCCCTGGCGACCAGCCGAGGGGCGTCGTACCAATGCCTGCAAAAGTGAGTACAAAGGTGGCATGTCCAGAGGCAATGCTAAGATGAAGAGCCGAGCAGCTGGGAGGCCAGTAGTATTTGCAACTGGGGAATATGTTCCCAGTTGGTGGAGCAGGGGTGTGGAATATCAAACCTGAGGGCCACGCACACCTGCTAGAATGCAGCCCCTGAGAGTCTCTGGAATTGCTTCTGTACTCCTGAAGCAGGAGGTGCTACTTCAAGAGCATACTGGGGAAAGAGATGGCTGGGCTCCCCTCATTTGGCACTTTGGTGGTTTGCCATGACCTGCCAAATAGCAAGATCTGCAGCAGAGGCCCTTTTGAGGGCACCATTACCCTTGGAGGCCTGTTTGCTGGGCAAGCATGGAAAGGCCCTCTTCTGTGTTGCCCTCAAGCTATGGAATATGCTTCCTTGAGAATCGCATTTGCCCTGCATGGCCTCGGCCTTTAGAAAGACTCATCTTTTCCATTTGGCCTTTCAGAATGTGTAGTTTTCAAGTTTTTCACTGCTTCCAGTGTTCTTGCTTTTATTGTGTTAGGGTAGTATTTTTAAAAATTGCTGTGCACACTAGCAGAAACGGCACTATAGAAATATTAATAAGAAATAAATCAGTCTAGTGGCTACAGGAACAGAATTGTCTCTTCCAGAAGGAGGCAGGAGGAGGCAGCTACCTCTGTAGTAAATGTGGCTTGCATGGGTCAGGGAGGTCACAAAAAAAGCAGCGATTTCTCATTTATTGCATATAATTTTATGTGTGGAAGCAGCAGGAAAAAATTACACTGTTATGTTTTCATGTGTGAAAATTGGAAACTGGAGAATATATGTCTTAGAGATTGCATCAGCCTGCCACTCCATCTTCCAGATCATGCAGCCTTGGACAAACAGATATTTGCGTGATTTTTCTCACAACGGTGTATACATCAAAGCCATTGCTGTGTAGAATAGCACTGCATGACAAACAAACGGGAATGGCGAGGCACATGGGGATTGCTCAGGGCTTTCAAATTGGTCGGCAACGTTTTGTTCATCCTTGTGTACGGTGGCCCCAAGAGGAGGGACTTTCAGTTTCTTCAGTTTCACGGGGAAGTCAGTAAGAATTTTATTTCTGTATTTAAACTGTTTTCATCCCACTTCCCAGCCAAAAAGCCTCCAGGACAGCTTGCGTGCAATCAGTAAACAAGACAGCCCTTGCTTGCAGGCTTACAATTTAAAGAGGCTGGATTCTGGAAGTAAAAGGAGTGGGAAGGGAAAAGAGAATAATTAAGACGTCTTTTTCACCAAGGCTGGGGGGAATGGCCCTTTCGCCCTTCTCATCCTCAGTAAAATATTGAATATATTCTAAGAGCATGTTTACATAAATGTTGAGAATATTCTGGCAGCAGGAATAATGAACTTTGTCTGTGTGGGGGTAATGCTGGCCGCATGTGTTTTCGGGTGGCTGCTTCTCCTGGGTGGCTGCTTCTCCAGGAGGGGTGCATTTGAGGGGGGGGGGGACTTTGGACACAGGTGTGTAGGCAGTGCTGTTGCAGCCCTTGTCATCTTCTCACAGAGTGCAACTGCAACGAGCACTCTCACCGGTGTCACTTCGACATGGCGGTGTTCCTGGCCACGGGCAACAGCAGCGGCGGAGTCTGTGACGAGTGCCAGCACAACACCATGGGCCGCCACTGCCAACTCTGCAAGCCCTTCTACTACAAGGACCCCACCAAGGACATCCGTGACCCCAATGTGTGCCGTGGTGAGGACGTGTTGAGGGCAAGGAGGGCAAGTGGGAAACGGGGTTGGGCAGGATCTTCGTGCTTGCGGGGTTGGGAGAAACCTCTCAAGGAGAGACTGCAGCGTCCAGAGCTGGGAAGGTAGTGCTAGATAGGGAAGGGTGGTCATGCAACATGGCTTCTGCAAAAACAGGTCCTGCTAGACGAGCCTTGTGGAATCTTATGACAAGGTTTCGAGGTGGCTAGAGACAGGGGGCGCAGTGGATGTGGTGTACCTGGATTTCAGCAAGGCCTGTGACAACGTGCCGCATGATCTCCTGGTTGAGAAATTAAGGAGTTTGGAGATAGACCGATGCACTGTCCGATGGATTAGGGCATGGTTGACTGACCGAAACCAGAGGATAGCTATTAGTGGGGAATCATTGGGATGGCAGCCAGTGATGAGCAGGGTCCCCCTACACTCTGTCCTAGGACCAATCCTGTTCAATCTTTTCATGACCTGAAAGAAGGAATGATCAAATTCACAGACAATACTAAAATGGGGGCGGTGGCCACAACTGAGGAACAGCTACTCCAGATCCAGAAGGATCTGGACAGACTGTGGAAGTGGGCAGGGGACAAGAGGATGGTGTTCAACGTGGATAAGTGCAAGGTCTTGCAATTTATTTATTTTTTATTTGGAATTTTTGTATGCCGTACCATTTGCATAAGCCTCGGGACAGCTTCCAACATATAAATAAATATCTATACAAATACGTATAAAAACTGGAAGCATCCTGGCATAATAATTTAAAACCAATAAATAAAATCAGAAATTTGGGCATAGGAAAGGGTGTCATAAGTGCAAGTTAGGGGAGAAGTGACTGGAGAGCAGCACTTGTGAAAGGGACCTCGGGGTGCTGGTCAACTGAGTCAGCAATGTGTTGTGGTGGTCAAGAGGGCGAACGCCACCCTTGGTTGCATAGCCAGAAGCATGGCTTCTAGATTGAGAGAGGTATTACTGGCATTCTATATGACTCTGATGTGCCTGCAACTGGAGTATTGTGTTCAGTTCTGGACTCCACATTGCAGGAAGGATATAGCCAGGTTGGAATCGGTGCAGCGTAGGGCCACAAGGATGGTGGCTGGGTTGCAGGAAAAACCATATGAGGTGAAACTGAGGGAACTGGGTCTTTTCAGCCCAGAGAAGAGGAGACTCTGAGGGCATATAGGTACATGAGGGGTGTCACATGGAGGTGGGTAGAGACCTGTTTTCCTCTGTGGAAGAGGGCAGGACAGATTCCAATGGAGCAAAGCTCAGGCAACCCAGGTTCCATTTGGATGCCAGGAAGCACTTCCTGACAGTCAGGACCTCGAGGGTGTGGAATGGGCTTCCACGAGATGTCGTTGAGGCCCCATCGGTGCGGGTGTTCAAGGATAGGCTGGACGTCCACATGGTGGGCATGTTGTGAACGGAGCCAGCTGATGCCGGAGGTCAGACTAGATGGCCTGGGAGACCCCTTCTGACTCGCTCTGTTTCTATGTTTCTACTGGGGTCTTCAGTGGATACAGCAGGTCTCACTTGCCTCACTTGCCCCTGGAAGGAGGATGTATTCTCCCACTTAGTCTCATTTAGATGCTAAGCCTTTGGACTTGCGTTTCAGTTTTTGCTTCGAGCCAGTGTGCCTAGGTCCTTTCTTCCTTTGCCACCGTTTTCCTAAATGTGGCAGGTTGCATTTGAACAAGACAGAGCTGCAAAACTTCCCAGTTAATGGCTGGTTTTCAGTAGCATTGGCATCAAAACTAGGCACAGCTGGGCACCTGCTGAGGACCAAGACCCTGTAGGGGCCTGTTGACAAGACCGCACTGGGCTCACTGCTGCTCTCCGCCCTTGCACACTGCTCACTCACCGCTCACTCACTCTTCCCTTGTCTGCTTGCTCATGGGTTCTCTGAGGATCAGGCAGGCAAGTGGTAACAAGGATGAGAGAGAGAAAAACATTCAGTAGCAGATCGTGTCAGTGGTGGTGTGACGAGGGAGCCCTCAAAAACCTGGAGCCAGCACAGTGCTGTTTAATGCATGCAAAGGGCATTGGTGAATGGACCACTGGTAGGGCCTTTGAAATACTGAGGTAGCCTTGGCACACGCTCCTGAAAGCACAAGCCTCTGCTGTACAGCAGCAGCACAGACTCTTATGTGAGGATCTGCAAGGTCTGATTGCCCAGGATCTGATTTCAATAGCTAAACTTGAGCCTCTAAAACCCAAGTCTTTATTGTGCATTTGCTGGGATCTTTTTCCACATCTGACTTCAGGTTGGTTGCCTTGAAACAGAGTAGCCTTTCTTCACTGCTGAGCTAGGAGAGGCCATCTGTGTGGACTTGGGCATAAGATTCAGCAAAATGTACTCACGTTAAGCCTTCCAGCTTTTAGTGCTAGCAATGGAAAGGCATTCATTCATTCTATCTTCTTTTCCTGGTAAGCTTAGAGATACTTTTAAATGTGTTGCACAGAAGGTGGTAGTGGCAGTGGTGGGAGAAGCCAGACTGGGCTACAAACTGAAGACCAAGGTCTGGAACCCCCATAAAATTCAATGGATAAAGCAGAGAGATTGCATAATAAAAGCCTGAAAGTTGTCAGGCAGGCTTGAGGACTAGTGCCCCTTCCTAAAAATAAAAAATAAATAAAATAAAGTAATTGTAAGTTATGCCAAGCCCTGGTTCTTAATCAAATGCGACTAGAAAGGAGCAATTCTTTTGCCTTAGCAGTAGTGTTAATCTCCCAGAATGTTACAGGATTGTATTCTTCTTCTTAGGTTAGATGGTATAAGCAAAATGTTCCCAGCCACTGACTTCTTTTTGCAGTTTAAATCATGGCATCTGTTTGGTGTGTACCCTTGACAACCCCCCTTATCCTCTCTGCCCCACAGCTTGTGACTGTGACCCTGATGGCACATTAGATGGCGGTGTGTGTGACACACATGATGACCCAAGTCTCAGGCTGATCGCAGGACAGTGTCGCTGCAAGGAGCACGTGCAAGGAGTGCGCTGCGACAAGTGCAAGCCTGGCTTTTTTGGACTGAGCGTGGAAAATCCTCAAGGCTGCCAGCGTAGGTACCCATGTCCCAGGAGGATTTGTTGGGCCGGAGTCATTCCTCTTTATTCTCATCCATCTGTTTTTGTAACTTTCCATTGATCAAAATGAAAGCAAAACAAAAAAACCTTAAAAATTAAAATAAGATAACATGCTAGTTTTCTTACATGATTGTGATAGATACAAATGAAATGTATATCCCTGTTTATTTTATGTAAAATGAAATGCACTAACCATAGGCTTAGTTATACAGAGGTTTCGACAAAAGCTGACCAAACAGACCGCCTGTTCAAACATTGAAAGTCCTCAGCGCATTAGGTTCTTGAAGGTCTCCATTAGTCTTTTAGCTGTGAAAAGGGCAGAGAAAACCCACTTGTCCCGTTCTTCTGAGCCCACACAGGCACTATTACCCCTCCAGCAATGGGTCCAGTTGTGGGTGGGCTTCTGGAATCTCTGAACATGGCGAAGGACCTGCTTTAGCCACAGAGGGTGCCTCCTCTATTGGCTGTGCTAGCTGGAGATGATGGGAGTTGCAGTCCAACACATCCGGAGACTACCATTTTGGGGAAAGCTGTGGTCAAGCAGGTCAAGGACATGCAGGTTTGAATTCTCCCGCAGCTGCAAAGATCACTGGGTTACCCTCAGCCTGTCTCTCAGGGTGAAAGTAGATAAAGCATCAAAGATGTGATGACATTCCCTGCCCCTGGGGCTTAAGGTCGGTGGCTGCAGGTGCAATCTAGCAAAGGCTGGTCAGTTATCTGTTGGGACAGCTGTAGTCACACCATGCATTGCAGTGCATTGCAGATCCTGCATGGACTACAGCAAGAGTGAACAGAAGGTAGCTGTCCAGATGCCGTGGACTTTGACTGGCCAAAGGCCCTGCTGCAATGGCTGGTGGTCAGGAGTTCTGGGAGTTGAAGTCCAAAGCAGCTGGAGATTTGCTCTCTGCCTGCCTCAGGAGTAGAGGACCGTCTGATTCTGTCTTTATATGAATCTATGATTTTCAGTGTATTCTCACCTTTCATGTGACCTTTTCTTTGGCTGGCAGACTAACTTTTTCTTTCTTTCTTTCTTTCTTTCTTTCTTTCTTTCTTTCTTTCTATCTATCTATCTATCTATCTATCTATTTATTTATTTAACTTTTATCCTGCCCCATTAGCCATGAGGTTCTTGCAGAGTTATTGTGAGAATCAAAAGGGATACCTTCTCCCTGCCCATCTTCTGCTCCTCAAGGGAAGACAGGAAAACAAATGGAATAAAAGTGGATGCATTTTTTTCAGACAGAACAGTAAATGTTTCCATTTTTCCTCAGTATTTCCTTCCTCACCTAGAGGAGCCCAGCCTAGAAATGGAATTCTGAGCCTCCAACAAAGTGTTCCCCAAATAGCTGAAAATACTTAACTCTTAAACCAAAAAAGTTTGGATCAGTCCAGAGAAGAGCCCTCCTCTAGGTTTCTATTTAGGTAATTGTTCTCAGTGTACAGATATGAGGCAAGCCCAGAACAGTGACTCATGCAGAGAAGAGACTGGTCATTACTTCTGAGGGATTGCTCAGGCCTCCAACCACACATAATACTGGACTGGGACAGAATTGCCATCTCAGTCCACAGGGGTGATTGAAGCCTGGAGGATTAAGTTCTGCAGAGGTACAGCAGGCATTCTTCATCCAGAGGGGTGCTTTGAGCTCACAGGAGTGTTTAACAAATCAATGGAACAACATCAACAGGTTTGGCCCCAGCCTACACTTTGAGAATCACTGCTCTGACCTTTCCCCCACCTCTTGTTTCACCTTTTGCCACACATTTGTGATGGTGACATACTGGGCAGCACAGTGAGAGAGGCCGCCTGGGACAGGACTTAGTATGGCCGGCCATCAGGCATCAATGATGTCGTGAAGCCATGCCAGACAGAGGCATGCCGGCCTGGGCGGTGCCAGCCCCAAAGGTACTAGAGGGTGGAAGCGATCTTGCTGTGCTTGTTTGACCCACCAGGTTGCCAGTGCGACCCACGGGGGACTGTGCAGGAAGGACCCCTGTGCGATGCCATCACAGGGGACTGCATCTGCAAACGGCTGGTGACCGGTCGCAGCTGCAACCAGTGCCTGGTGAGTACCAGGCAGTCCGGCTCCTGCCCCTTGCTCCATGCTGCCTAGGCTAACGCCCACTTGGTTTCTTTTCAGCCTGAACACTGGGCGCTGAGCCCCGGCCTTCACGGCTGCCAGCCTTGCGACTGCGATGTAGGGGGCGCCCACGACAACCAGTAAGGAGTCTGCAGAGAGTGTTTTGTGTGCTGGGGTTGTGGGTCTGGGGGAGACAGGGAAAGGTGGAGAAGCAAGCAGGAGCCCAGCAAGGCCATTTGGGGTGCTTTGCAAATGGGCTCTGAGCCATCCAGGACTGGCGGGGACAAGACATGGGCTGCATGTGGCCTCCTCAGACTGCCTTGTGACTCCTGCTTGCCATACTGCCACATTTCAGCAGTGTGACAGCTGAGGAAATGGGGGGGGGGGCAGCAAAATGGGGCTATTTTAAAGCAGCAATTTGCTTTACATTTCAGCAGTAAGGCAATTGAAGGCAGAGGCCCGTTAGGCTCCAGGAGTACAGTGTGGTCCCCGATGCCTGGATGTTGTACCCCCAATTTAGGGTACTCTTGTGGAAAGAAATGACATGCAGGCAGAATGGGGAGAACAGTGTGGCAGAACCTGTTGTTTCAAAGGAGCAGATTGCTTTGGAAGGGGACTGAGGTGATAGGAGAGAGAGAACTATGCCCTCCTTTCTATCTACCTGTCTGATTATTACATTTCACATCCTGTCCCTCTTTTGTGGATCTCAGAGCAGCATGCCTGGCATTTCCAGGTGGTCTCCCATCCAGACCCTGGCTAGACCTGAACCCGCTTAGCTTCTGTGAGGCTCTGTGTGCCTTCAGAGCAGAACTCTTTGGGCTGGTGGCAGAGGAAGCAGGTAGGCCCCACTTCGTTCCCCAGGACCGTCCGCCTTCCCTGAGTCTGTTCTTCCTTGCCACAGGTGCTCCATGGAAATGGGGCAATGCCGCTGTCTCAGCCACATGGTGGGCAGGCAGTGCAACCAAGTACAGACAGGCTACTACAGCATTGCACTAGATCACTACACCTATGAGGCTGAGGAGGCACGACTTCGCCAGGTGAGGAAGGGGCGGATGGATGGGTGGATGGATGGATGGACGGACAGTGGTGGGTGGTGTTAGGAGCAGGCAGCTAGCAGTTATTACTTCCCTGGCCATGAGCTTGAGCCTTGCTGCTGGGCAGAGCCAGTGCACCGAGTGCTGCTCTTTTCAGGATGAGTTGACCTGAGTAATAGAGGAGGAAGTGGATCCAGGGCTCCAGGGACACAGTGGCAGCACTGGCACTTTTTGTTAGCATAGATTGTGATGCTATCTGCCACCCCCATCCTCCCTCCAACCTCCCTTTTCCCTCAGAGCATCCCTACAGTTCTCACAGTAGTTGGAGGAAATGCATTTTCCCAGCAACAATATGTTGTTTATTGTTGCAATGCACATTTTTGGGAGGGCTTGGTCTCATATAAGCAATTGGGGTGTATTAGCTCTGCGAAAGACCTCCTCTTGGTGGACCAGGGGTCAACAGCTGGAACAAAAGGCCCTGTTTAAGTAACCTTAGCTCCTGGCACCGTGAACTATGCACTATGCAAGCACTATGTTTGAACAGAATGAGGACTTAGCTGGTTGAGACCTTAAGTCTGTGAGTGCAGTTAGCCTATATATATCTTTGTTACATAAATAGTAGCTGTGGGAGAGCTCAAGCAGCCACAGAACTGTGGGGCTGGGGCATTTAAGGCACAATCCTATGCCTGTTTAGACAGAGAGAGTACCTACAGCTCCCAGCATGTGCTAAACACTCATGCAATTGCACCCTTACACTTTTTCCTGCCCTGATCCTGAGCAAAACCAACTTTGGACCACTGTGTGTTGTCAGCATCATGATACGCAGTGGTAGTAATGTAGGGAGAAGGCATTTTGATCTGTCAAGCACTGGACAATGTTTTAGGAGAAGGTTACCCTGTGCATTAATTGCACAGCAGTGGCTTGCCATGTTAAAGATGAGGAACCTGTCAGAGAAACCTGTCATTCCCAATTCAGTGCTACAAACAAGGTGAAATACACAGGAATTTGTATCCAGGACTTTTTTACTTGAAGGTGTTCATCTGCTCTGTCTGCATTTGGTTTAGTAATAGAACTGTTGCCTTTCCTGCTTTTTTGCTACATAACCTTTAGGTGGCACTGTACTATAGCAGAATAGTCCAAATACACGAAAAAAAAACAGTGTTTTCCTTCAGTTTTAAAAGTTAAAGCATACTTTCAAAACTCACTGGAAGTGCTCTTAAGACACAGAATTGAAACTGGAGGGTCATGACATTGTTTAACAAACCTATAAATCTTCATGTAGAAAAGCTTTTAGGAGTAAGTACTCTAACCCCTGTGCCTGGGTGTTTGTCAGTTTTGCTCCCTCACAGATTCATATTAATTTTTAATAAGTTCTTATCAAAAAACAAACTGAACAAAAATCTCACCAGGAGACAGGCAGGACTGGGCCATTAGTTAAGCCATCACAATGCTTGCTGAGTGCTTAGCATGTTTTCTTGATGGAGGAGTTACTTGTATTTCTGTCTTTTGTAAGGGAGCTGAAGTGGTCGAGCGAGTGCACCTCACAGGCCGCCCCACCACATGGACGGGGCTTGGTTTTGCACGAGCATTGGAGGGCAGCATAGTGGAGTTCCACATCAACAATATCCCCTTCTCCATGGAGTATGACATCCTGCTGCGCTATGAGCCTCAGGTACCCACTTTTGGACATACCGACCCTGTGCCAGATCCGTACACCCACCTCTGCATTGCACGGAAATAAGTAAATTGGGGATCTACCAGTTTTTGAAGTCCAGTTTTCACATTCCAATACAGAATATAGCTGTCTGTTGGCCAAAATTATAAAATGAAGGGTTCAGATTTTTGCTTGAAGTATAGTATAAATATATTTCAGGATAAGAAATTGTTTGTGTTTATATATTTATACACAGGAAGCTCTCGCTCTCTCTATTAAGGTTGCATCGATTTACGATTCTGCAAGAAATAATGCTTTCCAGTTTTAAAAAATCCCCCCTCCCAATTTTGGCTTTTGAAAATTGAAAGCCTTGACTTTCAGCTCCAAGATATGTGAATTGATTGGAATTTTGTTTCAGCTTTGCCCTTGGTTTCCAATTTTTCCAAATCTCCTCTTGGCTACTCATGCACTTTGGTTTCCCCATGTGCTTTCTCTTGCCCTCTTTTCTACTCTGATATGTGCTACAAGAACCTAACTTTTTTCTCACCACCACCCCACCCTATTCCTGTGGCTTTAACTGCAATGTGCTATATGAAAATAAAATAAGGAAATGATTTCACATTATGCTATTTCCATGTTGTGAAAACCTTCATCTGCTGCTTCCACCCCTCCAACACAAACACACAAAAGGCTGTTAAAATGCAGGGGCGGGTCTGGGGAAAGCCATTGGCAATCCTTATTTGGACACTGTAGGATCACACTTCCCACTTGTCTCTTGTCATGCAAGGCACACCTGCCAAAATCCCCACTTCTACACAACCCTTAAAGATGCAGGAGCCTTGTCCTCTTTTTTCCCATCTGGCCAGCCTTCTTGGAATGGTTTCTGCAAATGTGTGTCATCTCAAAGTAAAGAGGGGTGAGTAGCAGTCCAGTCCTTTCACTGAAAATTGATCTTTTCCATTTAGCCATAGTAAAAAGAGGGACGCCCAGAAAGTAGATTTGCACTGAGAGTCTTAAGGAGAAACTAGATCCTCCTGCTGATACACCTCAGAAAAACCTTCCTCTATTTCACCTGCAGTCTGCCCTGCATTGTTTTTCATTATGCTCTGGCCTTGTGCCTGATGCCTTGGACCCTTTCAGCCCCCTGGTTGTGGGGACTCTCACCTTCTTCATCCATACATTGATCTGAGACCTCAGCTTTAAATGCTGTCTCTGAGGTGGCACCGCATCTCCTTTGATGTCGAAAATGGCCTCTGAGGCTCTGTCTTCTTACACTTGACTCGAGAGGCTTTGACCGTAGAAAGTTGTCTCTGGGCTGGCACTGCCTTTCCCTTGCCCGGCTGGATTCCCACAGGCATTCCTTGAGCCAAAACCCCATCCAGCCGGGTAGTTCCATGAGCAATGCTTTCCCCTCTGCAGCTGCCTGAAAAATGGGAGGAAGTGAAAGTGTCTGTGGTTCGACCAGGGCCCATCCCCACCAGCAGCCCGTGTGGAAACACCATCCCTGCCGATGATCTGATGTCTACACCTCTGTCACCCACATCTCGGTGAGTGCTGAGAAACCAGGAATGACAGTGCAATATTATTATTATTATTATTATTATTAGTAGTAGTAGTAGTAGTAGTAGTAGTAGTAGTAGTATATTAGCATTTCTATACCACCTGTTCTCTCTATACATATCTACTTAGACATATCCCACTTATGACTGGGTTTTATTCCCAAGTATGTGTGGATTTCAGCATTAGCAGTAACTTGATTTTGTAGGTGAGAGGATGTATCTCACACTGAAGAGATGGCATGTTTTGAAAATTTGAACAATGTAAAAATATTCATACTGTCTGTGTTTGTTTTAGATTCTGCATGCCAGATAAAGGGCAACTTTAAATGTGTTTACATATATATGATTTAACAGATTTATTGCAGTGTGTAAGCTTTCTTTTTCTTAAAAAAAGCTAACAATTTATGCATGAATGACACTGAAGACTTGTGCCAAACAAAACAATGTAAATTAAATATTTGCTGCATTCTTTTTTCTCGGCATAATTTATATTGTTTCCAAGACTGACATTTTCAAAGCCAAGCTCTGCTTGACACCAAAAAGGGATTTCACAAGGTAATAGATGTCCCTTAAAGGAAGAAATTGGGGTGGAGGCAAAGAAAGGCATACTGGCTGGTGACAAGTGGCCATGGATAATGCGCAAGCAAGATTTTCTGGAAGTTATGCTCAGCCTTATATTTTCTGATTCTGTATTTCCAAGCTTCAGTCTGTAATTATGAGGACTACAGACTTTTTAAAAAGAAGTACAACAATACTTTTTGTGTGTGTGGAGTAAATCAGTGGGCAAGTGAAATCCACACCTTGCTCAAATGAGCAGTGGCAGAGATGCTTCCCTCTTTCCTCCTGCCCACCCTCCATGGCCACCTAAACAGTCTGATGCTGAAGACAGCATTCTTTTTCCATTACCAGCAGCAGGCAGAGAAAGCTGCTTGGATGTGCCAGCCACTTAGCACTAGCACTTGAAGTTTCCTCTTCCTACTTGGGATTCCTTCTCGGTAAGAGTCTCCTTTTCCTCCTTGGATTCAGGAAATGGCTGTAGGCTCCCCACACTATGAAAACGCAAGTAGCCACACTCCCCCTTTGATGCAAGCCAGCCCTCTCATTCTGCAGGTATGTGGTGTTGCCGCAGCCAGTCTGTCTGGAGCAAGGGGTCAGCTATACCATCCGGGTGGAATTCACCCGCTATGGAGGACGTGACCATTTGCAAGGCGCTGCAGTCCTGTTGGATTCTGTAAGTACTGAAGGGTGGAACCCTGCCTGGCATTTCCTGTAGGAAGCACCATAGCCTGCTGGAAGAAACAGCTGCCAATGACACAATATCCTAGTTTCTTTCTCTCTCTCCTTCTCATTTTCCTTCCTCCTAAGCTGGTACTTATGCCACGTTACTCCTCCCTGGAGATGTTCATTGCTGGAGACGCCTCCTCCATTGCCCGCAAGGAGAGCTTTGAGCGCTACCGCTGTGTCCAACAAGCTCGGCCCGTGGTTAAGATGCCTGCCCCAGAGCCTTGCGTCAACTTGCTCACCAGCATGTCAGCCGTCATCCACCAGGGAGCACTGCGTGAGTGTTAAACTTGACCGGCCACAGTAGAAAACTTGTTTCCGCACTACCCACAGAAATCTTGACAGGACAGGCCCTTCCCTACTTGCACCCTGGGAAGGGTTCAAGGACTGTACTGGAAATGGTGGGAATGGGGAGAGATGAAATGTTCCCAGAGATGCATGGCAAGCAGAAAAGAAATTCTCCTTCTCCACCCCTGTGCAAGAATATGTGTACAGGTGGGGCTCCCCTTGCCAATTCAGCTACTTCTGTCAAGAAACAGTGAGCACAGATATGCTGGGGGTGTACCGTTTATTCAGTATCCGGGGTGGGGGGGGGGATACATGGAGCATGTAGGTAGCTCATGAGGGACTACAAAGATGGAGTCTGTACACTATTAGTTATATACAGTTTCGGGGAGTGGGGAGATCACATAAACAGTTTGCTAGAGGCACACGAGAATAAAACAAAAGGGTTGAATGATTTAAGATAAACTGCACAAAAGGAGGGAGTTTCAGGACATGCATCTATCAGCATATCTGAGGTGCATGTAGGAAACAAGACCTGCAACATGGTTTCCCGATCAGATCAGGTTCCCACTTTAACACACCTAAAGCTGTTCTTACAGAGTCAGGCTCTCAGCAGCCATATTATGGCAGAGCTTTCGCTCATTTTGTCTGGACACTTCTCCCCATTCCGTTCTGGGGTAGGGAAGCTGCGGTGTACTTCATCGTCCTGCACAGGCCTGGGGTCCACATATGGGTGAGTGGCTGGCAGGGGCCTGCTTGCTCATAGCTGTCACACAGCAGTACGAGGACTGAGCCCCAGGGAGTGAGTCTAGCATAGCACCAAATGCATGGTCAGGAGACGGCCCAAACACAGGAAGCTCTAGAAAAGGACCAGATTACCAGGGAAATAAAAAGGTACACACATGTGCCTAGCTCTCCAGTGCTAGAAATAATGACCGTTATGCCTGTGCCAACTGGGGAATGGACTGTTCATGAGGCAGTCCTGTCCTCAGGTGGATGCTTTTGCAGCCTCGAGACAACTCTCTTCCCTGGGTCTGGGTGACTGCTCAGCATCGACCTCCAAATCGGAGAAGGCGCTGACGAAGACTTGCAGGGAACTGCTGGCAGTCGCCTCCCGTGAGGGCTGAGTGTGTCGTGATAGGTCCCTCAACACAGGCGGCTGCTCCATAATGCTTGGCCTGAGAGGTGTCCCAGATCGCCCTCCAAAGAGTTCTTCAAACAGGGCACAACAGTAGCAAAGGGGCACAACTTTTCCTGCTTCTTCCCTTTTGTTGCCTGCTGTTCCTTTCCCCTTTGTCCCTTAGCTTGCCGGTGCAACCCCCAGGGATCGCTGAGCTCCGAGTGCAACCCATTGGGTGGACAGTGCCAGTGCAAGCTTCATGTCATAGGCCGCTGCTGTGAACGCTGCTCTCCTGGCACCTTTGGCTTTGGGCCTGCTGGCTGCAAAGGTGAGTGCATTTCAAGTTCTGGGATCGTCTCTCCCCTCACAACACCTGTCGTCTTCCTTTTGTTTTTCAAGTGCAGCCCAGGGACTGCTTCCTGGGTCCACTCCGGACAGATGAAGTCACCCCAGTGTGAAAATATTGCTTGAAATTTATGGGAGCAGCTAGCAAATTGCAGGTGTGGAGCAGAGGCTGTGCAGAGGATAAGGGCTAAGTGTTCTCCCTCCCCCTTCTCCTTTTTCACTCATAGCCGCCCTCTCCTGGAACAGCTTTCTGGGATCCATACTATGCTCTGGGTTAGACACATATCTAAACTAATTTTCTTAACCTCACTGCATTTATTTTGGGTAAAAAAGCAGCTGGAGGTCTGTAATACGTGTGTGTCCGTGTGCACACATGCTGTTTTCCTTGTGATGAAAATCATTCCTCCTGCACTATTTCGCTCCACACCACCCCATTTGTTATTTGCTACAACCAGAACCTTTAGGGTAAAAGGCACAGATAGGCGGTCCTCTTGGTACTGGATCCCCAGTATGGATCAGGGTAGGTTCTGGACTGAGGTTTGCAGCTGCCTGCTGTCCAGAAAAAAATGACAGAGTTAAACATGCTTGTTTGAATATATGATTCATATCCTGTATTGTCAGGTCCTAAAAAGGGCAGTAGCATGAGTCATGTATTAGCCATGTATGTGCACATGCTGTAGTGAAGGCAGAGCTTCCTGTGCAATTTGACTTTCCGGCCTCATGTCATGCCCTCCGGTACATTTTAAAAACTATTCTGCCTTGCTTATTTGACCTACCTGGCTGTCACGATCCAGTTGTCTCCCTCTAACAGGAAAAAGCACCACACCAGCATTTCTTTATTTAATGACCTTTATTGCTAGTACACAAAGCCTCTGAGCATACACCAAGTGAAATGCTGAACCCTATCTACTGCTCACTACTCAAAGCTTCTCTTATGAACCCTTCTGTGTGCCAGCCCAAGATGAGGGGCACTGCTGAAGTGGGCTCATTGGTGCTCCCCCGCCTGTGCCCCCAGCTGGGCTTTGCACCAACTTTGGCACCTGGTCAATGCCTGCAGGCTCCCCATTGGAGGAACTGGCTAATTCCGCATCCTGCCCTGCGGGTGTTACCTCGGCACTTTGTCCAGGCTCAGGTTGGTCTGAGACCGCCTCCATCTCCACGTCCCACCACCCTGCAGGTAGTAACTCTTCAGTTTTCCCAGGGGAGAGTTTCTGTGGATGCTGAAGTGTCCTTGTGCTAATCTCTTCCTGTGGCAACCCCTGTCTGGTCCCAAGAGCTTGAGGCTCAGCTTGAGGTTGCACTGTTTAACAAACAGTCTTCCCTTCAGCTTCAGAGTCTGAATCCTCATAATAATGCTCATTGAGCGCTTCGCACAGGTGTGCCTGAACTTTGGCAGACTGTGTGTGCACAACACTGGATTATTTTCCTAGACTGATCTTGAGTATATTGCCAGTGGAATGAAGGATATCCCATGAGCTTTTCCAGATGTACCCATATAGCGTGCGTGTGTGGTTTCCTTTCCTCATATATTGGACTGTGTCATGATATCTCTTCTCAAGGCAACAGATGGTACTGGGTACTGTGTGGCATGTGCCAAATGTTTTTACCACAGTTTTTATGAAACAAAAGCAGCTGTGCATTGAATGTGGCCTTTAACTTATCTGATTGCATTCTCACTGTTCTTCTTTATCATGCTATTAAAAGAAAACCTCTGCAAAAAATCAGTTTATTAGGTCCAGGAGAATGGGCATACAAGCATATATATTATGCAAAATAAGAACATTTTCCTGCTGTGGTTTACCTAACTGAATGAGAACAAAGATTGAATAGTCGAGGTACAGATTATGAACCATCTGTGCAAGAAAATTGGATGTACAGGGAACATGGTACATTGTGGGTGGGCTCAGGACCTGAGCAGCATGTACACCATTGCATTTCTGTTGGGAGGGCGGGGGGAGGAGGAGAATGAGAATCAGGGACGGCCCTGCTATCAGGGTGAGTAGGGCAGCTGGCACAGGCAGCCGGTCCTCTCTGGGGGAACAGTGATGAGATGTTGCGGGGATGTGCCTGCCTGATGGCCTACCCCGTCCTCCTGAGCTAACCTGGGCAGGACACTGTCCTGTCACCAGCGTGGAAGTATGGTTCCACTGCCAGTGCCCACTATGCCCAGCTTCTGTGTGTGGTACGTGGGGAGGGCCCTGTCTTGTCCTTCATCTCAGGCAGCAAAATATCTTGGGAGTGGCCTGATGTACTCACAGCCGTTTTCCCTGCTCTTTGCAGCATGCCAGTGCAACAGCGAAGGGTCCTTGAGCAGTTTCTGCAACAACTTCAATGGGCAGTGCCCGTGCCGGCCGGGAGTCTTTGGGCCTCGCTGTGACCACTGCCAGCCTGGACACTGGGGTTTCCCAAACTGTCGCCCGTGCCAGTGCAATGGGCGCGCAGAGGAATGTGACCCACAGACGGGCAGCTGTTTGCACTGCAGAGGCCACACAGAGGGAGAGCGATGCCAGAGGTGAGGGGAAGGCACCAGGAATTCTGGGACAGCTGAAGCAGAGGCACACAATACCTGGATGTCTCAACTCTGAAGCTGCAAAGGGAAATGTTTTGTGGTTGTACCAGAGAGCCAGTGTGGAGGAATGGTTAGAATGCTAGACTGAGACTAAGGAGACCTGGATCCTAGGCTCCACTCAGCCAAGACTTTGCGCCAGTGACTGGGGGATTTTGGGCCAGTCACTGACACTCAGCCTAACGTACCTCACAGAGTTGTTGTAAGGATAAAGAGGGGGAATGTTTGTTTGTTTGTTAAATTTATATATCTGCCTGTTTCTTTAAAGAACTCAAAGTGGCTTACATCATTTTCCTCCATTCATTATGATGGAAGCTGCCTTGAATTCTCTGCAGGAAAAAGATGGGATATAAATATAATAAGTGAATTAAAATTAACCTCATTGTGACCTACAGCAGCCCACATTAACCCATTGCTGTCCAAGCTTGTTGAACTCAGGCTTTCAACACTATTTATTTATTTATTTATTTATTTATTTATTTATTTATTTATTTATTTAACTTCTATGCCGCCCCATTCGCCGAAGCCTCGGGGCGGCTCACAGACATAAATAAACTTCGTTAAAATAATATAAATTAACAGTATAAATTAATACTAACACTAATAGAATAGCATATGACCAGGGTCTCAGGGCTACCTCTAGTAAAAATACAGCAAGTGAAGAATGCTCACAGTGCAAGAAAAAGGAAAATATATTATGAAACAGCATGCTGACATATAACAGAGAATAAATCAGATAAAAGCTATCCCACATTAACAGGCCTTGGAAAATGAAATGAGGTCTTCACCTAGTATCACAGGGATGCTGAGGGAGGTGTCAGGCAAGCCAGGTACCGTGCCTGAAGGAGCCCTTTTGATAGTAGCCTCCTCCGAATTCTGTATCTTTACCTGGGGTAGGACCTCCAAAGAGAAACAAAAGGTCACAGAAAACACATATAGAGACAGGAAATTGATCAGGTGCCCCAGAGGGTCTTTTAGATATTCCTTTTTCAGTTTTAACATAGGAGATGAGTTATAACATATTGACATGGAAGTAGACTCGTACATAACCTGTGTGCGTTTTACGCCTCCTGCCTTCCCCACTTGAATGCCTGCCCCAACCAAGCCCAGATTCTGTGATGTGCATGATTTGCATGACTTTGCCCACTCCTGCTCTGCTCATGGGAAGCATTTCCTAGACCTCTGTTCATGGAGTCTTCATCAGATTCTCACCTGTTTTTCACACCATAGGGACTAGAAACTTGCTTTAAACATCAGGAATGTTAGAATTCTTAGGCATTTATATGTATTCTGTACCAGATGTACATGCTGTTATCTTTAATGCTATGCTACCAGAGATATGCAGAATGCACAAACACAGCACTCTTTATATCTTACAGTGATTTATGGCAATGTGTTCATAACAACCTCTTCCCCCACCCCATCTGCAGCTGTGCATCTGGATATTATGGGAACCCAGTGCTGGCCTTGGGTGGCCATTGTCGCCCCTGCCCCTGCCCTGAGGGACCTGGCTCTGGACGCCATTTTGCTTCTGCTTGCCACCAAGACAGCCGGTCTGGGACAGTCATGTGTAGTTGCCTCGAAGGCTATACAGGCAAGTCCATCGTTCTTCATGAAGGCATCTCTTCACACACCTTGCATCATCCAGAGTGGGGCTTGGGGTGCAAGTAGAGGCGCAGGCAGGAACCCACCTTGTGACACCACGTCAAGGCAGGCTCTGCAGAGTTTCTGGGATCGTGCCTGGGAATCGTCCTGAGTTGAATAACCTGGTAATCGAGCGAGTGTTGGTGACTCTGCATGCACGTGTGTGTGGAGGGGGGAGCCCTTCTCATTGCAAACAACTCCTTATTTTGCACAGGCCCACGCTGCGACGAGTGTGCTCCAGGTTACTATGGCAACCCTTGGCAGGCCAGGGGGCGATGCCAGCCTTGCATGTGTAACAGCAACATAGACATGCGAGATCCAGCATCATGTGACCGACGCACAGGCCAGTGCCTGCGATGCCTCTACCACACTGAGGGAGACCAGTGCCAGCACTGCCAAAGGGGCTACTATGGCGATGCCACCCGACGCACTTGCCGCCGTGAGTGTCTGCTGGGGAGAGGGGCTGTTTCGGCCAGAATCCAGTGGCCATTGTGAATCTCACTGCCCTCCTAGCCCTGACCCTCTGAGTCCTTCTGTAAAATGGAGAGGATCGATTTCTCTGGAATGAAAAATGTGTTTCTTTACAAAGTCTGGAAGAATCCTTAAGAATCAGTTAAGATTTTTTGTCAGCAACATTGTCTGTTAAAATCCTAGGGCAGAAGGATTGGGAGAATTGAAGGCTTAGGATCTGACTGTATCTTAGGTCCTATGTTGTGTCATTTTGTAATTCTCAAGTTCAAATCTGAACAAAATCATGAATTAAAAAGATCACCTAAGGCACGCCCTCCCATCTCCTTCTTAGTGGCAAGACCAACTCTATTTTGACCAATCAAGTATATGCATATGGCCTACCAGAAAAATCTAATTCAATGCCTACCTTTTTTTTAGAAGACCAGGAATTTACCGTTCTCTTTCTTTAAGAAAAGATCTGTCTCTGGTCCTGATTCTTGTTAATACATGGGACTAGTAATGATCCATGAGGCTGCATTTAGAGTTTCAGTTAGTATGGATGCAAGCCCATTCTGCCATGTACTGAGAAAAGGGGCAACTGCTTAAGGAAGCAGCCTGAAAATCAGATGCTCTTTGCTGTCACATAAAGTCCCATATCTTCTTACCTGCTGTGCTCACTGTTGAAAACAATCCTTCCAAAGCCCATGTAGATCCTAGGATTCTAAAAGCAGATTTCTTTTCATTTACACAATGTTGACATATTTTGTTTTTTATATAAATGGATTATTCGCCCACCAGTGCAGTAGTGGGCAAGTCGTGGCCCCAAGACCTTTTGGCCTACAACCGCTCTCAGCTCTGGGTAGCACAGCCAATGGGGAGGGCTGGTAAGCCCTGTAGAGCATAGCATCCGGAGGGCCACGTGCAGCTGATCCCTGGGTTTTTACAGGGCATTTCCCAGAAGTGACTGAATTTAACCTTCTCCTTCACTTGCAGGCTGCACCTGTAACTTCCTGGGGACGGTGCGCAACGAGTGCCCATCGCGGGAGCAGTGCCAGTGTGAGCGGCGCAGTGGGCAATGCCGGTGCTTGCCCAATGTGCAAGGGCGGAACTGTGACCACTGTGCCCCCAACTTCTGGAACCTAGCCAGCGGCCAGGGCTGCCAGTCCTGTGACTGCCACCCCCACTACGCCCTGAGTCCTGCTTGCAATCAGGTTAGCTTGGGACTGAGCAGGTAAACTTTCTGATTAATGAGGCAGGAATGGAGGAATGGAGAGCGTCCCATGCTCAGGGTTTGGAGTGAGTGTGGAATACTGGTTGGTATGTGAGAGTGGGGACAAGGGGGCTTTGGTTCAACCCCCCATGCAGCCATAAGGTCCACCAGGTGATCCCGCACCAGTCTCTTCCAGCCTGTCTTGCCACTCAGGGTAGTTGAGGGTAATATGCAGCAATATGCAGTAGTGAGTAGATGTATGCATGCTGCCTTGAGCTTCTTGGAGCAAGGATGGGATGTAAGCATAGTAAGCAAAGCCAGTGTTTATTTAAAAAAAACATAAGATTAGAACACTGCAGGGAGGTATCCTATACATTCTTCGAGGCTGCCGTGGCTGCTTGATCCCTGCAGAGCTAGGGGCAGTGCAGTTACTGGGCGCAGGGCTGCAGCATGGATGCACGATGCGAGACCAGAGGCTTTGCTCTACTCACACGTAAGAAGGGGTGAGGCGGGTGTCCCTGAGAAGCGTGTGGCTTTGCAAGTGCACTGACTGCATCCATTGCACCACTGTAGCATAGGAGTGCGTCTGATTTACCACAGCGGTTCAGAGGCGGAGCTGTGACTCAAGCTGTTTGCCATTCATATCTTGCTTCTGCTTGGAACTAAAGTGGAGTTAGGCAAGCCACCCTTTTCTCAGCTTCAGATATCCCTCCTCCCATATTTGCAATATGGGGATAATAATATTTACCTTATAGGGTTGTTGTCAGGATGACCGAGGGTATATCTGAAGCTCTTTCAATGTCTAAAGTGTCCATCATCAACATCATCCTCCCCAGGGCTACATAGATTTGCTTTTGGGGTATTTTCGACATCTTAGCTCTAACAGGGCATACCTTTAGTTCACAGGGCAGTGCCAGTGTCGGCCAGGGTTTGGGGGCCGCACCTGCTCGGAATGCCAGGAGAACCACTGGGGTGAGCCCAGCCAGCAGTGCAGGCGTGAGTATGGCTCGCAAGCTGTCGCTGTGACGTGCCATCAGGCCACCTTTGGCCCACGGTGTAGGCAGAAGAAACACCCTGGCGATAAAGCTGGAAGCAGGAGGCAAAAGATATGGGAACAGTAAATGCTCTGTGTGCTGAAATGCTGTGATTGCTCCATGTGAGGCAGAAATCCTGAAAACCTCAACTTCTGTTAGTTTTTAAAAATTTAGTTTCTAGTCATTATGGCTGTGGATATATGCTTTGGATATGGAGAGCTGTGAGCAGATTCTGCTTCCACAGCTGGACTCTTGTATAATTCTCATAGAACTGGCTTCTCCCTGCCTCAAAAAAGCTGCTTCTTTAGGGGGACTTTTGACATGCAGTGGATGTGCCATGTGGGCTGAAGCTGGGAAGGGCACCAGCAATTTATTTATTTATTTATTTATTTATTTATTTAAACGTGTATTTATAGGCCGCCTATAACTGCCGAGGCCTTCCTAGTTGTTTTGCATGCTATAAAGTGAGTGCCTTCTTGTCATATCAGAAGCCTGGAGATGTAACATGCCTGTTGTAAGAACATATTTGAAGCAAACAAACTCCTAAAGGAGGTAGCACAGCTAGATTCTTAATAAGAATAACAAGGTTCAGAGAAAAAGATAACCAATACTTAAGGGCTGAGTATGGGTTGAGTGCAGCTTGCATCGGAATGTGGGTTCTCATGTTGTCTTAGCCCAGTTGTGCCAAGAAACCATGCTTTGTTGACCATCAACAACCCACAGTTTACAATCCAACAACAAACTATCTTTTTCATGGGTTGTTTGTGATGAACAAACCATAGTTCGTTATTGTGCTGAGTTCAGACAACACTATAGCCGACATCTGAACAGCAGCTATGGTCTACAACAATCCACACTGAACGCTTGAGGATGAGTGTTGTCTGAACCCAGATAGCTGTATCCACTTATCAGTGAAACATCCAACTCTCTGTGTGATTTTCTGGCTCTGTTCATACATCATGCTGAGCCCCCATAGGTTAAGCCTTTAATGGTTCACTAGTTAGAATGGGCAGCCGTTTGAATTTTCAAGTAACAGCTGCCAGTTGTCATGTCATGCAAAGCCAGCAAGAGTTGGTTGTTGGTGTGGTTAACAGACACCTAGAAACCAGGCAACACAGATAGTCATGGTTTAAATAACCCATGGCAAGCCACAGCAATCATGCAAACCCATCACTGCTTCTGCACAAATCAAAACTGCAAAATTCTCAGTTTCTAGCCAAAGGGTGTGACATTCCGAAGGACTGGAGGGAGCTTTGCAGCCAGTAAGGAAGTTAAGACATTTTTGCTAAGCCTCCAATCACCTATCAGGTTGGGCAAAGCTAAAATAGGGCTTCTTTGCAGTGATCAGGATGGCCAGGCCTGCCACAATATGCTTGGAAGTATGAGGATAATCAGGTTTGGTGGAATTCCAGAAGCCAGGTTCTGTTTCAGGACAAGAGCACCCAAGATTAATGTCACCCAGGGTGAGGAAATAAAGCCTGTGTCGATTCAAATAGGCAGAGTTGAAGAACGTGCCATAAGAAACAGGATTCAGATCGGCTCGTGCAAGGATTTGTTATTGGGTTAGGAGGCAGTGCTTGTTGGCCATATGTGAGGAGCACTGCGGGTGCACTAACTCTCCCTCTTGCTTACTGAGTTTGTGTCGTGGGCAGCTTGTGACTGTGACCCACGTGGGATCGAGAAGCCACAGTGCCACCATGTCACTGGGCACTGCTCCTGCCGTCCAGGTGTGTCCGGGGTGCGCTGTGACCAGTGTTCCCGTGGTTTTGCTGGTGAATACCCTGCCTGCCAGCCATGCCATCAGTGCTTTGGGGACTGGGACCGCATTGTACAGGATTTAGCTGCCCGCACCCGCAGCCTGACACAGCGGGCCCAGCAACTCCACCAGACAGGCCTCACTGGAGCCTTTGAGGGCACCTTCCGCCGACTCCAGAACAAGCTGAGTGCTGTCCAGGCCATTGTCAATGCCCGCAATGCCACTGCCAGTGCCATCACCCGCCTCTTGCATGGCATGGATGAGCTGCGGTAAGTGAAAGCGGTTGCCTGAAGGGATCGTGTAGAATTGGGGAAAGCGTGTAAAAGAACAACTAAAATGTATCTATGCCTTTTATTGGTTTGTAATATTTATATACTGCCTTTCTTTCAGGAGCCCAAGGCAGAGTATGTCAAGTTGCTCTTCCTTTTATCCTCACAACAGCAACCCTGTGATGTAGGGTTGGCTGTTAGTGACTGGCCTAAACTCACGCAATGAGCTTCATGGCCAAGTGAGCACTTGAACCGATCGGTCAAGCATTCTCACTGGCCAGTGTCTGGGACTGTTCAGCTTAGGGAAAAGGCAAATGAGAGGAGACGTGGGAGAGATGTACAGGATTATGCATGGTATGGAGAAAGTAGATAGAACTGTATTTTCCTTCCTTTTACATAATAGGCATGTGGTCATCCCATGAAGGTGAACAATTGGTGATTCTGCAACAAATAAAAGGAAGCACATCTTTCCCCGGTGCATAGTTAAATGCTAGAATGTGCTTCTGCAAGGTGTCATGATGGCCACCAGTTTAGATGCCTTTGAAAAATATCATAGGACAAATTACAAGAAATGGCTACCAACAGCTACTAGTCTTGATTGCCATATGGTTTCTCCACTACCAGAGCCAGTGTGCCTATTTTCAGCAGTTTCTAGGGAACATGAGCAGAAGGTTGTTATGGTCACGTAGGTTTCCCCCAGGCAGTTGCTGAATACTGGACTAAATGAACTCCTGCTCTAATCCTGCAGGGTTTTTCTTATGTCTAGACTGGTACCAAGCAACTGGGTTGGGCTGAGCATAGATGGGCTGGAACCTCAAAATGGAGGTGGGCAGGAGAAGAACTTTTTTCCTGTACTGGATGCATGGGTGAGCCTATTAAGGCGAAGGGGGCATGTGCAGAGGCAGGGCACATGCTTTCTGTGCGGAAGATCCTAGGTTTAGGTTCTCTGCTAGTTCCAGCTAAAGCCAAATCAGGCAGGAACCCTTCCTCCGTTTCAGTATGAGACCCCGCAGAGTTTTCATTAGTCAGGGGAACAGCACCACTCTAGACACACACAGAGTGCAACCTAGGAGATGCAAGCATTGATGATACCGCAAGTTAGCAGGGTGGGGAGGCAAAGGAGTGCACTGCCATGGATGCGGAAGGAGGTGGTAAGAGGGATTAGGCATGAGAGGAAACTCTGTAGGAAATGGGCACTGGGGCAAGTAGACAAAAGGGTGCGCTGGGAGGATTCCTTGCAAGGCTAAGGCTGATTATGAGCTGAGACTTGCAAAGAATATCACGATCAAAAGTGGGGGGCTTCTGTCAACATGTAAATACCAAGAGGAAGGGGAGACAGCCAGTGGGACCGTTTAATAAGGAAGAAGGCAATTCAGGAATTCGGTGACTGATGTGAGGGAACAGGCACATATGCTAAATGATTATTTTGCCTCTTCTCTCCAAAACAGGACTGGGGAGATCTACATGGGGGACCAGATGAGGCTGAGGATTTAGAGGCGCAGATTAGAGTCACCCTCCTAGAAGTCAAGTAGCTCCTCAGGGCACTGGACATTACAAAGGCACTGAGCCCTGATGGGTCACACCTGAGAGTACTCAGGAGTTGGCAGGGGTACTCTCATGCCCATTGGCCTCCATTTTTGGGGCCTCGTGGAGAATGGGTGAGGTTCCAGAGGACTGGAGGGTGGCATCAGTGGTCCCAGTTTTCCAAAAGGGTAGTAGAGGGGACATGGGGAATTACAGACCAGTTAGGCTTACATCCATTCTAGGAAAGACAATGGAAAAGCTCATAATAGTGCGAGATCTAGTAACCCTAGATAGGGAAGGGAGGTTGGCAGCCATGCAACGTGGCTTCCACTAAAACAGGTCCTGCCAGACAAACCTTGTGGAATTTTATGACAAGGTTTCAAGGTGGCTAGAGACAGGGGACACAGTGGATGTGGTTTACCTGGATTTCAGCAAGGCCTTTGACAAAGTGCCGCATGATCTGGTTGAGAAATTGAGGAGTTTTGGGATAGACCAGTGCACTGTCCGATGGATTGGGGCATGGTTGACGGACCAGAAGCAGAGAGTAACTATTAGTGGGGAATCATTGGGATGGCAGCTGGTGACAAGCGGGGTCCCTCAGGGCTCTGTCCTGGGACCGATCCTGTTCAATCTTTTCATCAGTGACCTGAAAGAAGGGGTGAGATCAGTCTGCTGATCGAATTTGCAGATAATACTAAAATGGGGGCGGTGGCCACAACTTAGGAGCAGCTACTCCAGATCCAGAAGGACCTGGACAGACTGTGGAAGTGGGCAGGGGACAACAGGATGGTGTTCAACGTGGATAAGTGCAAGGTCTTGCACTTGGGGCATAGGAAAGGGTGTCGTAAGTACAGGTTAGGGGCTGAAGAGCAGCACTTGTGAAAGGGATCTTGAGGTGCTGGTCAACTGAGTCAGCAATGTGATGCAGCAGTCAAAGGGCGAACGCCACCCTTGGTTGCATAGCCAGAAGCGTGGCTTCTAGATTGAGAGAGGTATTACTACCACTCTGTATGACTCTATATGGAGTATTGTGTTCGGTTCTGGGCTCCACATTGCAGGAAGGATATAGCCAGGTTGGAATCGGTGCGGCGTAGGGCCACAAGGATGGTGGCTGGATTGCAGGAAAAACCATATGAGGTGAAACTGAGGGAACTGGGTCTTTTCAGCCTGGAGAAGAGGAGACTCTGAGGGGATCTGTTGGTGGCATATAGGTACATGAAGGGATGTCACATGGAGGTGGGTAGTGACCTGTTTTCCTCTGCAGAAGAGGGCAGGACACATTCCAATGGAGCAAAGCTCAGGGAACCAAGGTTCAATTTGGATGCCAGGAAGCACTTCCTGACAGTCTGGACCCCGAGGGTGTGGAATGGGCTTCCACGGGAGGTGGTTGAAGTCCCATTGGTGAGGTTGTTCAAGGATAGGCTGGACATGCAGATGGTAGGAGCCAGATAGAGCCGGGGGTCATGAGTGGAGCCGGATAGAGCCGGGGGTCAGATTGGATGGGGCGGGAGGCCCCTTATGACTCGCTTTGTTTTTATGTTTGTATGGTTCTGTAACCTATGATTCATTGGTTAGAACAGCCGTCCAGTGCATGCCAAATGTACTGGACTACAGCTCCCATCAGCTGTGTTGGAAGCAATGAAAGGGATGTTTAAAAGCCAAGATTTGCTAAGAAAGCAGGAAGACTCCCCTTTCCAAAGAGACGTGGGAGTGGCAGGTCATCTGCCTTTTAATGCCCTCTATCTCACCACCTGGATTTGTGTTTGAGTCGCTCTTTCAGATTTCATTGATCTGCTAGCGTGGAATAATGTTCTTTATGAAGACGTCCTCAGTTCATTGTCTGTCCGTAGCTATAAGCGTGCCTGACTAAAAGTGGGGCCTCCAGGGGGGTGCTGCTACTTGTTCTGCTTGTAGGCTCCCCACTGGGACATCTGCCCAGCCACTGTGAGAACAGAACATTGGACTAGATGATCCTTTGGTCCAATCCAGCAGGCCTCTTCTTAAGTTGCTGGCAAGTCCCTAATGATCAGGTACTTGGGCCAGACCCCGGGGCATGTCTGTCCATCTCCATCATGCTTTGGTTGTCAGTTTTCCCTTCTAGCAAGCCACTGCTTGCAAAGGGAGCACCGAACCCATAAGAGGCTGTACTTTATACCACATTAGGCTATTTGTCCATCTGGTTCAGTTTTGCCTTCTCTGGCCAACAGCGGCTCTTCGGAGTTTTAGCAAAGGGTCTTTCTCATCACCTGATTCTTCTCCTGCAGAGGTGAGCCAGCGGAGCCAGCTGTGGCTTTCCACATATTTTGGCCTGCATCTCCATGATTCCCCTCCACTGGCTAAGCTGGCCAGGGCTGATGAGAATTGTAGGCCCAGCTATCTGGAGGCCCACAAGTTGCCTGCCCTGTTCTACCAGGAAATGTCAGGCATTGAATATGGAACTTCAGGTTGCAAAATGGTTGCTCTCTGCCACTGAGCAATAGAGCCCTTCTTATGATGGCAGGCCTAATATCAAACCTGACAGTTTCTGAGGATGACAGTTTCTTTCTCCAAAGACTAGAGCAGTGGTGCTTGAGTATCTTGGAGTGGTGCACTCCATTTCTTCTTTTCACTCATATCATCAGGCAGGAGATAGCCGATGTGACAGAAACACTGACCCACCTGGAGGGAATGCTGACAGCCACCCAGGACAAGAACTTCAATGCCAACCATGCCTTGGGCACACTGGAGCGTGCCACTCGTGGCCTCAACCTCAGCCTGGCAGACCTGGCCCGCCAGATGGATGCACTCATCAATGCCAATGTGTTGGGTAAGTGTCCAGTGGGAAACCATGGGTTGACCCTGGACTGCTGTATCTCAACTTCAGAACCTATCCACTCACAAGATATGGAGATAAAAACTTACGGGGTTCTTCTAAGGACTGGTAAAATGGTATTTAAAAATATATGGCACTTCATAAAAGTGTTGCAGTAGTCAAAGTATTTATGCCAGACTTCCCACACCTTGCACCCATGAGATGTTTTTTTCTCATTTTGGAGGTTACAACTCCAAGCATTCCCCAGCCAACCGTACTGACAATCACATTCTGCATTGCCTCCTTAGCTATGCTGTTCCTTACATCCAGCTTCTGGCTTGTTTGTTTGTACCACAAAGACAAGAGTAAATGTTGTTGCTTAGTCGCAAAGTCATGCCTGACTCTTTGCTAGCCCATGGACAACATTCCTCCCCAAATTGCTTGTGAGTGGAGATTTTTCAGACCTAGCACAAGAGGTATGCAGAGATCTTTTTGGCCCAACTGAAGCCTCTGATGTCTCTGTTTTAAATTCTTTCATTTCTGGGCAGGTGCCTATGACAGTGTCCACCAATCCTATGTGCAGTCTCAAGAAGCTGAGCGCCGGGTCAATGCCTCCACCCTGGCTGTGCCCAGTCCTGTCAGCCAATCAGCTGCTTCCCGGCGTCGCACAGAACATCTGATGACGATACGGAGAGACACTTTCAATAGGCAGAATGCAGCCAACCGTCAAGGACTGACAGACCTATCACGACGCATTGGAGGGCTGAGCTTGCATCGGATCAATGAGAAGGTAGGGAGCTGTGGGGAGAAAAGCCTCAGGGAAGTCTGGAGCAGTGGGACAGAGTCTGTGTCAAGAATGGAGCACTGTAGGAAAATGTGGGCCTAAGGGCAAGTGCCAGAGGACTCAGAGTCTGAAAGTCAAAGAGAGGTCAGTGTCAGTGAAGCTTGCTGGGTAAAATGTCAGAATAAAGCTGCCTTCCCCAACCTGGTGCCCTGCAGGGATTTTGGAGTTCGTCTCCCATCAGCCCCAGCCAGCATGGCCACTGGCCAAGAATCCTAGGAGTCATGCATTATTTTATTTCTACACTGCCCAAAACTTGAAGCTCTCTGGGTGATGTGCAGCACCTCATAAAATACAATAAGACACAATATAAAATGTAAATAACAGTAAAAACTTCATAGAGTTTCACTAGAGATTTTCAAGTGTATTTCAAAAGGCTTGTAATATAGTTCTGTTAGAACACTAACAGACTGCCCCCCCCCATGTGCTGTTTAGAGCTTTTAAATGCCTCTGCATAGAGGGCAGCCTTAGCCTGGTGCTAGTAGAGTTGTTGCCAGGTGTGCCTCAGTGGGGAGAGTGCTGTGTAATTGTGGGGCTGCCACAGAAAAGGCCCTTTTCTTTGTTCCCACCAACGGAACCTCTCTTGGAGATGGCATCTGGAGGAAGGCCATGGATGCTCAGTACAGTGCCCAGGTAGATTGTGGTTGGGAAGGTGTTCTGTTAAGTCTTGCAGTCCCAGGTTTGGATGGCATCAGGTTGGGGAAGGCTGAAGTAAGTGTATGTAACCAGATGTGAGTCACTTGCTTTGAAGGCCCAGAATGCCCAGCATCCCTCACTGTTGGCTAGGCTGGCTAGGGCTGATGGGAATTGTAGACCAATATATCTGGAAAAGCACAAGTTGCCAACCCCTGATATAAGCAAGCAGTCTTGGTTGAGAGCAGGGACAGGCCAACTTGGGAAGCAGGTGGCCATCCACATGTTGTATAACATCTCCCATAGTTTCTTACCATTGGCTATGCTGCCTAGGGGTGATGGAAGGCCACAGCCGGAATATAGTGAGGCCGCATTGAAGAATGTAATGCGAAGTTAGAGGTGCGAACAGCTTCAGCACAGCTTACCTCTGCTCCCTCTTCCCAGGTGTGCGGGGCCCCTGGGGATGCTCCCTGTGCCAGCAGCCCCTGTGGAGGGGCTGGTTGCCGTGACGAAGATGGCAAGCGGCACTGTGGGGGCCTCAACTGCAACGGGGCTGTAGCCACTGCGGACAATGCACTGGACCGCGCACGCCACGCTGAAGGGGAGCTGCGCCGTGCTGTAGCCGATGTGGATCTCCTGCTGCGTCAGGTAAGGGTCAGAAAGAGAGAAGCTGAACATCTGGGCAGGGCAAGATTTGCAAGGCTTCACTTCTGTGCCTGCCATCCTCGATTGGATGGTCCAGAGGGGACACAGCAGCAACTTGGTTCTCCAAGCAGTAGGTAGATGACTTTGTTCCTGCAAGGTTCCTTGCATGCCTGTGTCTCTGCTGCCCCCTAATGGCTACCCAGGGAATTTGATGTGTTGTTGGCAGGTGGCAGACGCTAAGGCACGGGCAGGTGAGGCAAAGCAGAGAGCACAGGTGGCTTTGGAGAATGCCAATGCCACCAAAGCTCGGCTGGAGCGTTCTAATAAGGAGCTGCGAGACCTCATCCAGCAAATCAAAGGATTTCTGAATCGTAAGTGCAATGTCAGACTGCCTTCCCCTGTCTTGTATTTATTTTATTTTCTTTAGTACATGTATATCCTGTCCTTACTCTTTACCTGTCCTCCCTGCCCCAGGAACACAAACAGAAATGTGCTGTTGTCTTCGTATTCTGGTCATGGGTTTCCCCATAGGCATCCATTTAGTTTCTGTGGGAACAGAGCAGTCTGTGGGACCTTGCTCTGAGCCAGCACAACTTGTGTTCTTTGAAAGGTTTCTCTGTAGTTTTTTTGTCCATATCTGTGGGCTGAATTCCTGCCAGCTATGAATTTGGAGGCTGATGCATTTCACTAGTACAGCCAACAGTCCTGAATAAACTTTCATGGTTCTTTTAAGTGCCAGCAGGACTAACAGCTGTCACATCAATCAGTTTCTTTTTGAGGATTACTCAGGAGAATATACCTTTTGGAGGAGTATTTTTCACAACCTCTTTATGTGCAGAGGAGGATCTGATGTAATTAAGCTATGTAAAAACATCACAGCGTTCTCCTCTTCTTCGTTTGCTAAGGGAGAATTAGACTTTTTCTGAACAATAGGATTGGCACCCATGGAACGGATAGATGGGGTCTGCTAGGGCACCATCACTCTTTTTTCCTTCAGCCCTTTCCTTTTTCTTTGTTTTTTTAATTCTACTTCTCAGCAAAATTCTCAAAGCAGATGATGGGTTTTAAATTGTTATTCCTCTCTTGGTTAGAAAAGACATGTTATGCAGTGGCGGATTGTCCTGATGTGAGTTAAAAGAGTAGCCACCTAAGAAGCAGCCAGTACTGAGTCAGACTGCTTGGTTCTTCCCACTCAGAAATGTTGATGCTGGGTGGGTTCAGACATAACAGCCATCCTCTGGGGTAAATTAAGGGTCAAGCAGCTGCGATGAGACTGACAGATGATCAGGCTTATCAAGGTTGCTTTCTGCACTCCCCAGCCTCCTTCCCATTCATTCCTCTTCACAGTATGCCAAGGGACACCATGGGGAAGAATGACGGTCCTCTTTTTGACAGTCATGATCACAGACCAAATGTGGTTTGCCACAGCTATCATACAGTTTCTGGTATGCAAAGCAGGCTTATGCTGCAAACAGGTACCTCTGCTGAACCCATGGCTTGCCTGCACCAGTCGTGCCTGAAAGGCCTTCTTCCAAGCAGGGCCGGAAAAAGAAGGTGTGGACCTGATGGGAGGTACCAAGAACAGAGCAGCCCTGCTGAGCTCAGGCCCCTCTCTCAACTCCTGCTAGGGAGAAAGCTGGGAGGGCGGGACTGGGCTCAACAGGGATGCTGCCAGAATGGGGCATCCCCACTGAGTCCATGGTCTGACCTCCCAGTGCCTGCCCAAGCAGCTTGCTCCTAATTCAGACCAGTGGTGGGTGGAGAGTGGCAGCTGGCGATCAGCAGCTGCTCTGAGAACAGAGCAGCACCTTTCAGCTGATCACCAGCTCTTGCCTCCTGCCCTAGAGGCAAGAGGGGTACCTCTGACAGCTGTGCCAAACTGGAGAGATGCTTGAAAGAGTGGCCATGCCTGCTCTTGCCAGTGGCTCACTTGTTCTAGGGCTTTCCCTACAAGGAATGAGCTGTGTGGTCGAAGCTTGCAAGACACAATGAGCAACTGTGGTAGGGAGAAACACTGGGGACCTATCTAGAACTTATCTTAACCTTGGTAAGACACAACCGCGGATCCTACAGCTGGGTTTGGATGACATAAACATTGGTGAGAACAATCAAAGGCTGCTCATCATGTTGGGTGAACCCAGCCACTGACTGGCAGCAAGAGCTCTCTGGGTTCTCAGGCAGGAGTTTTTCGCAGCCCTACCTGAAGATGTTGAGGACTGAACTTGGAACCTTCATGCAAAGTAGGGGCTCTGCCACTGAGTCACAGCCCCTGAACTACTGGGATGGAGGAGAGGGGAGCAAAAGGGAAAGGCCCATTGAAAATAGCAGGTGTGAGTGCTGCCATTTTACCCATTCATGGTGATAACTAACCCTTCCATTACACAGTCGAGGGGGCTGATCCTGACAGTATTGCACTGGTGGCATCCCGTGTGTTGGAACTCTCCATCCCAGCATCCCCTGCACAGATACACCATCTCGCTGAGGAGATCAAGGAGCGGGTCAGCAGCCTGGCCAATGTGGATGCCATTCTGGACCAAACAGCAGGAGATGTGCGTGTGGCAGGCCAGCTGCTGCAGGATGCACGGCGTGCCAAGTGAGTATGGGAGGTGGCAGCGTGGTGGAGCCAGGGCTGCAGAACCGGCACCAGGACGCTGGTGCCATTGCCACCCCGCCCTTCACCGATGGCCCTGTTCCTTCTAAACTTAGCTGCGATTCTCACAGTAGTAGGGAGAAATGAATTTGCCTAATAAAAATGTAGATTGTTCCATGTTGAACCCAGCCAAGGTAACAAATCATGAACAACACACAGTTCACCTCCTAGCAGTAAACCATGGATTCTCTGCATGGGTTGTTGTGGTTACCAAGCCATGATTTATTAGCTTGGCTGGGTTCAGACAACACAATAACCCTTGGTTCAGTGGCAACCCATACTCAGCCACTGAGCTGAGTTATCATGTTGTCTGAACCCAATCGATCAGTGTGAACAAGAAGGATGTGCCATTCAGTCTGAAGGGAAAAGCAGTGGAGTTGAAACTGCTGTCTCCTACCCCATCTTTTCATTGTGAGTGCAACACAGTGTTTAGTGAAAAGAAAGGAAGGGAAGCAATTGCACTGCTGAAGCAAGAGAATCTGTAGCCATCGGTAAACCCTGAACTAGCACCCAGGAGTTTGAATTCTCTTTCCCCTCCTGAGTCTCCAAGAAACTCACCATTTGGCCACTGATCTGAGATAAAGTAACTGGGCAAAACTACTGTGTAGGGGATGATCTTTCTTGTTTGTTTGTTTGTTTGTTTGTTTGTTTAGAGTATTTGTATGCCGTCCCATCGCATAGCCTCGGGACGGCTTACATCTTAGTTTGAATGGGAAAAATTATGAAGTGTTTTGCATACCCAATGGTACTAGAGGCATGATTGTAAGGTGACAAGGAACCCTTAGTGCTAAATCAGCCATCTGCAACCTGGTGCCTTCTAGGTACGTTAAACTGCAATGCCCATTGTTCTCAAGCAGCACAGCCATACTGGCAGGGAATGCTGAGAGTTGTGGTCCGACATGCCTGAAAGGCATCGGCTTGGGGAAGGTTTTGTGAAACATGTGTTATTTATCTCCAGTGGGTGTGCTTGATGCTGAGTGGTGGGGCAGTCACTGTCTTGAGTGAACTCAGTATTTGATTTACAGTATGGGAGTGTTTTAGGTACAAGGAAACACTGCCTTTGATTGATACATGGGACCATTTCTTTACTGGAAAAGTGAAGAGACTTTGATTCCAATAAAGAACATAAGTTGACTATGAACCAATAAAAGTGCCTTACCTGAGTCAGACCATTGAATCCACAAGCCCAGCCTTGTCAACTTTGACTCGCAGTGATGCCGAAAGGCCTGGGGCTGGGCTGTTTCCCATCCTTGCTACCTTTTTAATTGCCAATAACAGGGATTAAGCCTAGAAGCATCCATATCAGGGGAGCAGAACCTCAAGCCTGGGGGGCTAAATCTATGAGAGCCCCCAGGAAGCCTACAAGTCTTTCCTTGGCCACTGATCATTGGGTGGCTTTTCAGCTTTGTGCAGGTCTGTCCTCAGTCTAAAAGACTGAAATGCCTCCCCTAAATCTAGTTCATGGTAGTAAGTGCCTTGAACTAAAATATGCTGGTATTGTTGGTATTTTGGCTCTGCCCACCACTGGAAAGCAGCACTTGAGAGTTTCTCCAAAACAGAATTTGGCCCCTGAGCTGAAAGAGGTTCTGTGCACCTGTGATGACCACAACATGCCCGAAACTGCATCTCTTCCGAGAGTTGCCTTTCTGTGTCAGACAAGAAAGCACCCAGTCCTTCTTGCCAACTAGATGCTTTTGAAAACTCCCAAACAGGCAGGATACAGAAAAACGCTCTATTTATTACATGTGTATACAGCCCCATGTCTAAACACATTCTGGAGAGGCAAATGATAAAACATGAAAGGAATGAATTACCATAATAAAAGGTTTAAAGAACAGAATACCAATTAAAAGCGATTTTAATACCAAATACCAATATTCAGCTGCAGAACTTTTTTTGGAAACAACGGCGCTGGTGCCTGCCTGACCTCCAGAGGCAGGTTGCTTCACAGAAAGGGATCCACCACAGGGAAGGCTCTGCCATTAGAGTGGATGCCAGTGAAGCCCCAGGTCCATGTGCAGCCGCATGCCATCTGATGACCTCAGGGGCTGGGCAAGAGGATCAGGGAGAAGCCACTCTCTCCAGTGAACCTCCCCTCTTTTATCACCCTAGTGCAGTCTTCCCTTCCCTAGCCTGCTGGTCTCCAAATGTTCGGACTGCAGTTTCCCTAATTCCCAGTTATCATGGCCATTGGGAATTAGGGGCCTTGGCATCCAGCACATTTGAGGGCACCAATTAGGGGAAGGCTGGTCTAGCATGTTATAGTTCAAGTTGTATTGCACCTGTGCATGGGGATCCCATTCAGAGATGACTAATGGCTGCTAAGAAACCCATTGCCACTAGAATTGGTCGTCTGTGCTAGTGGCCGTCGCAGCATCAGGATTGCTGGTGAGTATAAGGCCTGCATTCATACTTGCAGCAATCTTCCCTCCCCAGTGCTCGAGCAGAGAGCGTGAAGAATGCAGCTGAAGCGGTGAAAGCAGCTCTTGATGATGCCAAACGCGCCCAAACAGCTGCAGAGACAGCCATCCATAATGCAGCCACCGATATCTACCATACGGAAAATGTTGTGAGCAGGGTAAGCCTCCAACATGTGCAGTCCTTATTGGCCCTACAGAGAATGTATTCCTGAATGCTCGTGCCTGCATTTTTCTCAAACCACACAGAGGACTGGCTTTAGGAGCCAAACCCTGTGTGCTTACTTTGAAGAAATGTGTCATAGGAATGAGGAAGAGGGTAATTTCGAATTCAGATTCTAGGTAGATGAACCAGTGTCCATTTTTCCTCTTCAGGTAGGCTTTGTACTGGCACTGGAAGCTCCAAGGCAGGGGTAGTCAGATGGTAGCTCTTCAGATGTTTGGTACTTTAAATTCCCAGAATCCCCTGCTACCATGGCCAGGGGTAAAGAACTCTGGGAGCTGAGGTCCAAAACACCTCTTCTTGACAATGATATTATTATTATTATTATTATTATTATTATTATTATTATTATTATTATTATAACATTTCTATGCCGCCCCTTGCCGAAACCTCGGGGCGGCTTACAACATGATAAAATACATTGAAATACAATAGTACATAATAAATTGCCATTAAATACAAAATACAAAAAATACATTGACTTACAAATATAAAATTAAAATTATCAGTATAAAATAAAAATATAGGAGGAGAAAGAGAAGGAAGAAGAAGTTGCCCTGGCCAGATCATATGTTTTAACAATTGAAATGATGTTTAAATAAAAAGGTCTTTACCTGGCGCCGAAAAACCCGTAACGACGGTGCCAGGCGGACCTCTTTGGGGAGTGAATTCCATAGGTTGGGCGCCACCGCAGAGAAAGCCCTCCTCCGGGTACTTACTCTCCTAATTTCTTTCATGGAGGGTTCCCGGAGAAGGGACTCTCCCGCAGATCTCAAAGGGCGGTCGGGCATATACGGACGTAAGCGCTCGTTCAGGTAGCCAGGACCCAAGCCGTTTAGGGCTTTATAGGTCATAATCAACACCTTGAATTGGGCCCGGGCTTCAATGGGAAGCCAGTGAAGCTGACGGAGGACTGGAGTCATGTGAGCATAACGCCCCGTCCCCGTCAGCAACCTGGCAGCTCTATTTTGCACCAATTGAAGTGTTCGGACTGTCTTCAGGGGAAGCCCCACGTAAAGCGCGTTACAGATATAACATACTTCTAATCAGGAAGGCACTTGGAGCAGGGTGTCAGTAGAAGATGACTTAGACTATCATGAGAAGAGAGACACTTTCTGGTATTTTGAATCCCAAGCTGTTTAAGGTTTTAACATCCTAGTACCTTGAACTGGAGCCTTAAAGGGTTGCATAACCAGTACACTGGTTATTGGAATGATGCAGATAAATCTGACTGTAGCAGATGAAACCTGGCAGCTGAAAACTACCAGCTGACATGCCTGAGCTGTCTTCATGGGTGGCCCCACACAGGCACAAGGCTCAGGGCAGGGAACAAGAGACTTGAGGCAAATATGGGATGGTGTGCCTGGAATCAATGTCCAATATTAATAAGTGTTTCTTGAACAGTTTTAATCTCAAAATGTGTTGCTTGCATGTATGGCTGCAAGGGGAAGGAGTGTCATGCCACTGACCAAAAGACTGTGGACTGAATCCAGAGGCACTTTTAGGAAAGAATGAAGACAGACAATTCCTGTAGCAAAAAGAAAGGAAAAGACTAGATGGGTGACAGAAGAAACACTCACAATTTTTAAGGACAGGTGAGGCGCAAGAGCAAAAGGTGACAAATAAAGCCAAAATCCTGAATATGACTTTTCAGCAGTTGTAGAGACAAGAACTATTACAATCACCAGTGCAAAGAAACAGAAGTGAACAACAGAAGAGGAGAAACAAGAGACCTCCTCAAAGGGAAATTCAAACCTAGATTAGGAAAGCTAAAAGATCAACAGGGAGTGGATAGTTCTGAAAGAAATGGGTGTGCCTAAGCGCTTGATCATCCTTTATCAATGGACCTTGGCTCCAGCCATTCAGAGTCTGCAGCCTAGAAATTAGAAGACAGAGACTTGAAAGGGCAGCAATGAAAGAAATAGAAAATATCATCAAGTGTAAGGACATTTCACTGAATACCAAGGGCATAATCTATACTATTCTATTCCTGATAAGTATTATGGGTGTAAAAGCTGGACAGCAAAGAAAGCTGACAGGAAGAAAATGGATGCATTTGAAACATGGTGCAAGAGGAGAGCTTTGCAAACATCTTGAACTGACAAAAAGATGAATGAGTGGGTGCTAGATCAAATCAAGCTGGAACTTTCCCTGGAATCAAAAATGGCAAAACTGAAGCTGTTGTAAGGCAAGACTCACTGGCATCTTGCTAAGGAATGTTGAAGGCAGAAGAAGAGGAGAAAGATCAAATATGAGATGGGTTGACGCCGTAAAGGAAGCCGCAACCTTGAGCTTAGCTGATCAGGGCTATCAAGGACAGCACAGTTTGGAGGGCATCCATTCATACAATCACCATAAGTTGGAAATGATTTGATGGCACATAAAAGCGACATAAATAAAGGATTAGCACATAAAACAAACAACTTGCGGTATTACATTCATTTTAAGTGCATTTACCCTATTCCATGGACTTGATAGATGCCTGTCTGTCAATGCCCTTTGAGATCGCACTAATGAACTTAATTGAAATTTAATCATCTGCTCAAACTTAATGCAATTTGCTCTTTCTGTGCCCCTCGCTACTATTTTTTTCCTGGATGAACTTACGCTTATTGGGGTGCAGGATGTGCCCTGCACTTCAAGGCTTGTATTGGATCCCATAATGGTAATCTTTCTTGCTTCTTCACTCTGTCCTCCCCACCTGTACTTCCCTGTCTCTCACCTTCCTTTTCCCATCAGATCCAGGAAAAGACTGCAAGTGCTGAAGGTCAACTGGCTGCAGCCCTGGAACGGGTGGGCCACCTTGACAAGCAGGTAGATGCCCTCAAGATGAAACGGGCCAACAACAGCCTGGCAGCCACACGAGCTGAAGAGACAGCCAGTGCTGCCAGAGACCGAGCTGAGGAAGCAAAACTGGTATGTGAGCTCTGAAAGCAGGCAAAGATGTGTAGAGCCCACCTCTTGGGCTTAAGCTTAAGCTGGGATTGAGCACATGGCTGAAGAGAATGTTCTTCTTGCATCGTATGTGTAGAGATCGACTGCTGTATGTCTAGCAGTCAATCTCTACATTTGATTTAACTTTAGAAGTTTTCTACCTTGTTTTTCTCATATGTTCTAGGCAGTCTGCAAAAGATTGCACAAATGGCACATTCTAGTTGGTACTTGCAAACTCTTCATATTCTTCTGAGTAATTTGTGGATCAGTGATTCTGCTACCAAATCTTGCCTCTCTTTTTGTATGACTGCCCCTTGGTGATTCATCTTTCCCAATTTCATCTTGTAAATTATCAAAAACAACAAATGCCTTCACAGAACCTTACAGTTTTTATTAAAAGTCCGAAAACGTGTACACCAAATGAATGAAATGTATTTTATTAACTTTTATTACTTTTCCAAAGAGGTCACTCCCCTGCCTCAGAATCCCTTTAGCCCAGTTTATCCTCAAAACAGCTGTGTTAGGTCATTTAACCCAAAGGTTCAAGTGACTGGCCATCAGATTCTTAATAAGTTTTTCAATAATTGAATGAGATTAGTAAGCCTTATTCTTTGGAGACAATTAAAAACAAATGAAACTGGCAAGAGAAATCCTTCTTATCTCCAAAGGGCCAGTGCTGAGAGGCAGCAGTTCCAAAAGATGATGTTCAGAGGGATGGATACATACTGAAGCTTGGTTTATTTTCCTAAGCCTTTTAATCTTTCAGATTTGTTTTTAAATATGTTGTGGTTTTAGATCTTTGTTGGTTTTTATATAGGTTTTATTTTAAAGGGTTTAAGTTATTTTACGTTGCATTTTGAAGTGTAAGCTTTTGTGAACTGCTCAGGGATCTCTGGCTATTGGGCAGCATAGAAATGTAAATTCAAAAATGAATCTTAAGGTTCAGAGACACTGAAAGGGTCAACCCCAAAGTCCAAGTTGCAGGACTTCTACAGTAACACAAAGGGAGTCTGAGAAATTATGGGCCAGTTTGTTCAATGTCTACTCAGAGTAAATCAGTTGGAAACACTAGAAAAGATAAAATTAGTAAGCATATAGAAAGAATTATGCCTTCTGCAAAGTTAGTCCTGTCTTGCTAACATTTTAGAGTTCCTTGAAAGTGTCAGTAAACATGTGGATCTGACTGACATAGTTTACTCGGACTTCCAAAAGTCTTTGACAACATACCTCACCAAAAACACCAGAGCAAACATATTACTTATGGAATAAAACTGGAAATCCTCTTCTGAGTCAGTAATTGGTCAAAGAACAGAAAGCAGAGAGTAGGAATAACCGGCAAATTCTCCTAATGGAGGAGAACTCCAGCTGCTGGGGAACATGGGCAGAAGGGTGCTGCTACAGGAATGTCCTTTTTGTGGATTCCCCCAGTTCAGCTGGTTGGATATTTGCAAACAGGATGCTGGACTAGATTCAGCCACCCTTGGTCTGAGCCTGCATGGCTTTTCTTATGCTGCCCTTATCTTTCATCTGTTCACACCCCAATCCATCCATGCAATCTATTATCACATCACATCACATCTATATCCTACCTTTCTTCCTTTTGCATGCCTAGGAAGAATGTCTAACCCATAATGTTCCACAAACAGAGACATGGTGCCCAGGAAGTAAATATCCCCAGATGACTTCAGCAACTTTAATAACATACAACCCTCAGGAGATACAGTGGTACCTCAGCTCACGAACACCTCAGTTCATGACCGAATTGGGTCGCGAACAGAAATTTCATAAAAATGTTGCCGCAGGTCATGAACTCTGTATCAGGTGACGATCGCGAGCGCGCGCGCCTTCCCAGCACAGGCGCGATCGCAGTCATGCTGGGTGTAGGGAGATTGGGCCGTGTTCCCTGCCTGAGCATGCCCGCGCCCGCCTCCCCCCAGCGCACCCACGCCTGTGCCCGTCTCCCCCCCAGCACACCCACGATCGTGCCCATCTCCCCCCACCCCCCACACGATCGCTGGGCGGGGGGGAGATGTCCACGATCTTTGTTGTTCTTTACCACTTTGCTTCAAATTTTTGCGAGTAAAAAAAATAGTTGCAGAACGGATTAACCTTATTTACATTGACCCTTATGGGGAAATTTGACTTGGCTCACGACCAGTCTGGGTCAGGACCAGAGTCCTGGAACGGATTAAGTTTGTGAGCCAAGGTCCCACTGTACCTAAAGCAACAAAAACCAAGCCTCTTTGCTGCTGGCCAGGAGGACATGCCTTCCTCGCCTAAGCGTGTTCCTCATGCCTATCCTCTTCCACGTTATTATAAGGCACTACTGCGCACGCTGAAGGTGCTATCATGGGCAAGGACAAAAAGCATCCGCTAACTCATTCCAAAGGAACACTTCTGAGGCACAGTCCCTGCCCTCTGTTCTGACCATCCTTCTTGAAAGTTCCCAGGGATGATGGGAAACAAGAGACAGCGTGGGCGTCTGCAGCTCCGTTCACTCCTTTCGTGTTTCCTGCTGTCCCCTAGGCACTGGAGACCCAGCTGAGTGACCGGTACCAAACCGTGAAGGAGCTGGTGGAACACAAGGCTCAGCACGTACTGCGGGCCCGGCAGAAAGCAGAGCACCTGCGAGATGAAGCCAAGGGGCTGCTGCGTGATGCTCTTAAAAAACTGCAGCTCCTGACAGGTAAGTGCTCAGGGTATGGGCACCTGACTGCAGGTGGAGATGATGACTGTGTCCATGATATCCAAATATAAATTGGGTTTCACATAATTCTGTGCCATGAAAAACTCACATTCGGCACTCTGAATAAATGATGCAGTTGTATATTTGGTATCTGGTTTCCAGGGTTCAGCTTTTCAAAGAAGCACCGCTCAGCTCACAGCAATGGTAGAATTTATGAAAGGAAACTTACAAAGACTGAGAGTACCCAGGACAGGGACAGGGGCTACATGGGGTACTGAAATCCTCTTGTGATATATCCTGTGCTTGCATGGAAGGCCAGAAAAGAGACCAAATAAACAAAGGCCAAGAAATAACAGAGGAACAGGGAGGGTAGATCACAGTGCGTGAAGAGCGAGAGGTGATGGCTATGATGCAGTAGGTGGTAGGCTTCAGACTGCTGAGGGGGACAACAGCCAGTACAAGCAGGATTTGTTGGGAACAGAGCCCTGTACATTCTTCATTTTAGAACCAACTGATGGACTGACTCCGTGAAGGAAGCATCAGCCTTGAGGTTATAAGAGCTGAGCAAAGCTGTTAAGGACAGGGCAGTTTGGAGGGCATTGACTCATAGGGTTGCCATAAGTCAGGGACCACTTAATGCCTTGCAACTGTATGTTGCGTCTTCTGCAGACTTGTTCCACATCCTACCACAAGGAGTGGAATCAAGAGTGTGATACTCCTGGTCAGTATGAGGAGTCCTGCCTAAATTGGTATTACTCTCGTGGCTTGGCCCCTCAGCTGGGCAGCTGCCCAGGGTCACTGAAGAGGCCACTGTGCACACTCCCTAATTCTCCCCCTTCTCCACTGCACTCTCAGCAACTGAGTGTCCAATGGAGAGAATGGATTATGTATTGCAGAAGTGACACAAGCATTCTTGTTGCAGTGGTGAGGAAGGCATTTCTCTGACCCAATGAGACGCCCCTCTGTAGGATCTTTTGTCAGATATGGAACTGTCTTTGGGGCAGTGGATTCTGGAATGGGAATACAGACATGATGACATCTGCTCCTTACATGTCTCTGTCTTCTTGTAATGTTTCAACCTATCTTACCTTCCCTCCCATCCCCTCCCTCTCCCTGTTCAGCACTGGAAGAAACATATGAGGAAAATGAGAGGCAGCTACAAGAGAAAGCAGCCCAGCTGGATGGGCTAGAAGCCAAGATGAAGGGCATCCTGGGAGACATCAACCAGCAGATCCAAATCTACAATACCTGCCAGTGATGTACCGTATCCTGCTCCCCCTGTGCCTTACCTAGGAGCTTAAAGAATTCTTGGCAGTGGCCGTCTAACTAGCTACCACCTGGCACAGTATTTCCTGTTGCCATTCCTCCCCAATTTGCTTGCCATGGGTCATCATAGTCTGCTTCCAGGTCCCCTCATGCCCCTATAAAGCACAGCACTGCACTTAGGAGAATACCTCCCTGCTAGCATTTGTCACACCAAATACTGAATATAACAGCAGCACTTGGATGCCAAACAAAAGATTCCCATTCTGATTTATCCCACTTTCTTTTCTGTTGTTTTTGAAACAACATAGAGCAACATCACTGCCTCAGCCAGAACAGGAACTGCGTTGCCTGAGGAGGGATGGGGGTCAGATGAGATTAATGCATTGGCATGTTTGTTACACATGATCTACTACAACCAGGGTGGGTTGCATCTGTGTGAGAATAAAGACTCAAAGTGGCACTGCTCTCTGCACCGAACTGCCTGGTTTCTTTGTCTGGTTAAACTTAGTCTCAAGTCTGGCAACGCATGCCAGAACCTAGACATCTGCACTGCTAGTGTATCCTGCAGTAGCAACTGGTCTGTCATGAAGGCATGCGATAGACACCTCTAAGTTTTGGATTCCCAAATATGGCTGTGAGACCTGCACCTGTGATGCAAAGAGACATGGAGTGGTGAAAAGATGTAGGGGAGGACTGAGGATGACCACAGCAAGAAAATCTTAGGAACGTCGGAGGAGGAGATTTGAGCAGCACATGAAGACAATAGTCCATTAAACAGTCTGTGACTCAGTGGGATATTCCTTGTGAAGACGTCCTGCAGCCATAATGAGTAATAGCCAAAATGACAGGACCAGAGTCGCGGGGAGATGTGGCCAGGCACCTGCCAAGGCTCTCAACACAGCAGGGTCCCATAAACAACCCCTGCACTGGCATTGCTTCTCTTCAACACTGGAGCCTGTATGTTTCCCTGCCCCTCAGTCTGGCCGAGACAACCATGCTGGTGGAGAGGGGGAAGAGTAGGTGCCAGTCCCCACCTGCTCACTGGCTCTCTGCCTGGCAAGCAAGCAAGTGGTGGCAATAGCAGCTGGGGAGAATGGTGGTGAAAAGGGGTCCCGACTGAGGGTGTCTTGCCCAAGTGCCTCCAAATCCTGAAGTCAACACTGGACAATGATAGGCTTTTCCTCCGGGACTTTTTCTCATCTGACATGCTTTTATTCTGAAAACAGGTTCTGGGGTAGAAGTGGAGCATGTGTACATTATCACGCCCTACGTTTCCTCCTCTTCCACTCTGGAGGAACATCAATATACTGAACCTGAATAGAAAAGAGAAAAGGTTTTGCTATCAGGGATGCAACTCCCTGGCACGTTTGTGGTCACATAAATCACAGTAAGAGCTACTGTTGCACCAATGTGACAGTCTAGCCTTTTGCTGTTTTCCGGTATCTCACACACCTTGCACACCAAAAGGTTGCTCATTAAGTGAATGAGCTCATAGATTAGCACACTGCTGTGAGCAAAGGAGTTAGATTTGGTACCATGCTCTGCTTTATTCTACGAAGTTCGAAATGCTGAAACATTTTCAGCAGTCTAAGCTCACAAACATCTTCTTACATATTAGAAATATTTTACTAATATTTACAAAAGTCACTTTCCCAAACAAGGCTCCTTGTTGTTCTTTGAGCTTGTGAAGAGATTTAGCACAAACATTACACTGTTTAGCATAAAATCTGCAAGTATCAGTCTAGAGGGAAAATAACTATAATGTACAAATGTGTTAACAATAAAAATCATGTTAACGTTTTTTACAATTTTGCCATACAAATGAGGCATCCAAGGCAAACATTAGACCAAGTTTAACCATTTTGGACACACATTTGTAACAACAGCCCATAGAATGGCAGCACAACTGGAACCATCCTCTACAAGGCAAGTTGGGCATGTCCATCCTGAACTTCTTGTTAGTTGAAAAATGTTTGGAAAGCTTTAAGTAGAAAGGACCATACTAAAATAGATTACTTTGCTGATGGCTAAAATAGCTTTAAGATTCAAAGGGGGAATCTCAGTATATTCTTTGTTAGAATTAATGTTTTAGAGTAATTTAAAAAGGACAGATATGGTAAAAATTAAACAAAAGTCTTTATATTCTCTCCATCAACCCAATAGGAGAAAAATGAAATCACTCACAAAATTTCCTTAATTAACCTACATATATTAATTACAACTCATCAAGTACCACTTTCCCATTTTTTGGTTAATTTTCATATTCCACTCTTTTAAAACAATCTGCATACCAAAGAGTATTTCCCCCTTATCTCATATCCTTTCTAAAGTTTCCTACAATATGCATTAGCGCATTAAAATTCTATGCCATGTACTCCTTTTCCAGTCCTCTGTTGATGGAAGTCACTGGATTTTCATCACATACAAAAGTAACAGTGCTGTACTCAGCACATTTCCTGCTTTAAATATCTCTTCTGACACCCTCTTTGCCTTGATGATTGAACACTTTGTTCAGTCCTTACATTCAAACCATTAGAACTTTGCTGCAACTCTCTCTCAAGCAGCAATCCTTTCATCAGCAGACACTGAAAACCATACATTTACTAAAATTACATGGGGACTGAAAGAAGGTATGCATAACATTTCAACTGTCACTCCATTCATTCCAATGGTTGGTGCAGTTCCACATGTGCATTTCTTTACACATGCAGGGATTCATACACAGAAGCTGCACGGAGGAGTACACCGTTGCACAGGAGAAGTGCTACTGCAGGAAGAGGCTAATCTCACGCCCCTCTCCAGTGCTGACAATCTAGTGTTACAGCTGCACGGCCTATGCCAGCCCTCAGCACACTGCTCCCCACAATACACATACTGCGTCAGATGCCTGGATCAGGACTTGGCCGGGAGTGGACCTACTCTTGTGTCAAGGATTCAGTGTGAAGGTTTTGTTTACCACAATGTATTAAACAAGAAATAATGATCATTATATCTTTTGGAAAATAGAAGCTGTTGTCAGATGCTTGCTGTACACAAGAGTGCAAAAGAAAAAACTGTGCTGATGAAAACTGAATGATAACGAAAGACAGAGTGATGCCATGCTAGTCTCCTATCTCCCATCAAGTTCATATATTCATATTAAAATATAGCTCTGTCCGCGCGCACGCACACGCACACGCACACAGAGTGAAGAGGGGAATTTTGTGGCTACTTGTACCAACAAACCAATTCTAGCACTTTTATTTTTTAGAGCGAGGTGGGGGGACAACTTGAGCTGGCGCATATTAATTTGCTATTGACACTGTGTGGAGGTGAACAAACACTCGAAAAAAGAGGAATGCTGTCAGTCACGTAGATAAGATATATATTTATGAGGCTGCCAGGCAGTCAGTGTGTTATGGTATCAGGTAAGTTATCACAGGTTCATACAATATAGCAGGGCATTTATGCAAGAACAGCAGTTTCAAGGTGTGCATGTCACTCTTTTGTTTCACTGTAGGTGACAAGGCATTGAATCTATCGAAACTAGCCTTTATCAGCGTTGTTATAATGGAACTAGTAGCATTGCTATGGCACCAGGGCAGTGTTACTAACCAGCATCTTTTGGTTGTCATGGTAGCATTGTGGTTGCTATGGGACCAATCTAGGTGTCAGCATCCTAGCTATTTTGTCTTTGTCTTAAGAATGTAGAAACTGGCCCAATGGGATCAAACACAAGATCACTTTATATAAATTAGCTCAGTCTTAATTGACTATCTGTTATATGGATAATCTTGGTAGATAAAGAGTGATTCAAAAGTAGATGTTCTACATAGATTTTCAGGTTAGCACCATGGTGACATGGTAAATTTTGAAGGGTAGGTGCTCATCATGACATTCCTTATTACCATGCCCCCAAGGAGAGTTCAAAGATTCAGACATTTGTTAATTTGACACAGCAAAACAATTGTAGCAGTTTTCTTCTCCACCAGGAGATCTTTTGTAAAGCTAGTGCAGGTCAATTGCCCATTCAGGTCACACCAAAATATTTTGCATTAAAAATAGGGAACAAGGTGAACTGCTGCTGGGGAAAAAAATCTTATCTTCTTCCTAGCCCCAATCTACTCTTGAGGATTGCAGATGAATTCAAGGGGAAAAGTTTTGGGAGAAAGAGATGATACCAGTGTCCCTACTAGAAAGGTGTTGGCACTGCATTCCTGAGAATCTGGCTCTGCTACACCCCTGAATAAGCAGCAAAATGTGCTCAAAGATTGTCATTTACTGCCCAGGGACTACTTTTTCTGGGTAGATTTAAGTAGTTAATATGAACTTTGCAACAGAAGTTCTCTGCAGATTTCCCTGCACTGTTTATGGACGGGACACAAAGACAATCAATTTTTGCATCCTTAAAACTGTAATTCTCCTATGTTTTGTCTGGTTTGGAGCCAAACTGACTGGAAGAAATCCACAGTGTAATTATATAATTAGCAGAAGTATTAAGCAGAACAAATTAAGATGTGTATGATGTCCTGCCCTTTGCTAAGCTGGTGTCAGGGCAAAATGAGCAAAAGCTCTGCCATAATATGGCTGCTGAAAACTCGACACTGTAGACTTAAGGTGGGATTCTGATCTGATCAGAAAACATTGCTCCAAGTCTTGTCCCCACATACATGTTAAGTTTGCTAATATATGCCCGTCCTGAAACTTCTGTGTTGTTTGCCTTACTCCATTCAAACTTGTTTTACTTTCATGCTCCTCTAACAACTTGCCTATGGGACCCTCTGCCATCAAACTGTGAATGTAACTGGTTGGTTGTGAAAGAATCTTGTATAGGCTCCAACTTTACAGTCTCTTTGCAGGCTACTTACATGCAGCATGTATTTTCCTGAACATATAAATAAACCAGTACATGTTCTTTTGTTTGAGTTCACTGTTTCTTGACAGTTCTGGTGCTGTGAGCAGGATGTACTAGTTCCCCTGCTGAGCCCTGACTGTGAAATTGGGGCTCTTGCAGCTGTAAAGGGGTAAAGAGGACTTTTTCCTCCAAAAAGACTTCCTTTTCTCACAGTCCAAAACTGCAGGCAGTAATGGTGGCTTCCTTCGAAGAACTCTGGTCGTTACAGTTTTGTTCTGCATCAAGGGGATGGGAAAGTCTAGTTCAAAATACCTCCCAGGTTTTACCACTTGGAAGAGTAGTGAGGGTACAGGCATAGCGGGTTGTTGCAACCCAAGAAGTCTGTAAAAGGATGGCTTTTCTCCTGTGCCAGTCTCCCTGGCCAGGTTTCACCCACAGGCAAGCTGATCTCAAATGCGCCCCAGTGGGTTCATTTTGATTGCAAAATGCTAGGCCATTTGAAGGGAATTCTGGCTGGTCCACCCCCCCCCCCCCAAATGGATAATTGGCCCCCCTGGGGCCAGAGTGGAGGATTGCAAACAAGTTTCAGCTTTGGAAAATCTAGGTGTCTGCATGCAGCATTTGCTAATGGTGCATCA